CAATAAAATAACTCATTTCCTTATAGACTTTCCAAAATTTAAAAAAAAAAAAAAAATCTCAAAATTTTTACTTGGCTTTTGTTTTAGTCAAATGTCTTAATTAAAAATTATTTACGCATGAATAATGTTAACAAGTGAAATTGCAAGCTTTTCGTTAAGATGCTTTACATAAATATACACTCAATCCGATACAATAAAAATAATGTTTTTAAACTAATTCAAAACAGAAGGGGGATCCCTTTCGATCATTTCAGTAAACTGAAAGTATACTAGATTTGAGAACAAGCTAATTTTTTACGAATTAGGATTTGGTGTGAACTATTTTTCTTCTTGTTGTCCAAGAATGGGACACACAAAAAAACCCATTATGGATGGATTCATTTTCAGCTGGGCGGTTTGATCATGTTATTGGGATGGTTTGGGGTCATCAGTTATACATACGATGCACTCTCCTTACACCAACACTATGCCAAGATGAACAAATAGAACTTAGTAGTAATCAGGCGCTAGTATCTGGAAAAGGAGGGGGGCTTTTTTTTCAAAGGTAACGTTTTACTGTTGAAAATGTTCTTTGAAAGCCCGGTTCCACCTCTCTACTTTTTTGTTTCAGTACAGTCAAATCGTCCCATGGTAAAATTTGTTTGTGAAAAAAGTTGGAATCCCCCCCCCCCCCCCCCCCGAATTAGGATTTTTGAGTTTGGACATCCCCCTTTTTTATTTGTCAAAAAAAAATTTCAGGTAAGTTGTCAAATATTTTTTTCTGCCCCCCCCCCCCCCCCCCCGTCAAAAACGACACTACGGGCTTAGAAAGGCCGCAGTAAATTGACGCTTTGTTTTACGTCCCTGGGCGGGTAGGTTTTCAAAAAAAAAGCAAACACAGGTTTATCATATTTTGACGAACAATTTTTCCAGAGACTGTATTTTACAGAAAAATTGTAATCCAGTATGTACGTTTTTGTTTCTAGGTGGGACTGGAGGACATTTTTTCAAAGAATTTAGGGACATAAAACAAAGTTATGATTACACTGTAAAAAATAAGTGTTTTAAAAATAAACACCAAATTGCCACAGATAATAAACACTTCAACACGTTTAAAATTTAAACACCTCGTGAAATGTTTAAGAAATAAACACATTAAAATGTTTAAATTCTAAACACATGAGGTTTAATATTTAAATACTTCCTTCTCATTCTGTTTAAATACTAAACACTTCAAAAACACAATATGTTTAAAGATTAAACACTGAATAAACACAAAGAGTTTACTAAATAAACACTGTACGTGTTTAAAATTTAAACATTTCATGTTTTATAAATAAACACATTCAACCTAAACACTTAAACACTTAAACATGTTTATTCCATGCAACAGATAATAATCACTTAAACATGTTTATACGTCAATTTTTAAACACTTCAAAGTGTTTAATTTACCAAATTAATAAACACTTAAACGTGTTTATTAGTTTTCAGATTTTTATTTGAAACAAACATAAAATAGTACAAAACACACTGTGCTTGATGATGAACATGTACATAAAGCTTAATTAATAAATGAATTGATGCTGAATAGGTATTCAAACTTTATAAACAATTATAACATTAATCAACGCATTTGCTAACACATAGATACATAATTCAATTCAAGTTGAAAAACAGAATTATGATATCAAAACAGACTAGCATGAACATGTAAAACCTGCATATTAACTAAAATCCAATAAAATTGGTGGTGGGAAGGGGGGGGGGTCTTTGAAATAGGAAAAAAACATACATTATCGCTTAGTAAAATGAAATATTTTTCAAGAGTAAAATTTTGAAACATTATTTAAAAAGGGCCAGGTCGTCCTTTACATCCTTTTGTTTTTTAAATAAAACAAACAAATTCATAAATAAATATAATGCAAAAAGACTGAAAATGTTATTTGTTGTCTGGGTATGGGATATATATGTATTACACTAATAAATCCAGTTGTAAATGTTAATATTCAGAGTTTTAACCAAATGAAGAAATTTTCCAGTTTTGACCTATAAAGGACTAATTCATTAAATATTCTTGCAACTAGACAGGAGCTGCCGGGGTATCACTCACTAAATTTCATGTAATATTCTAACCAAGTTAAACAGTCTATAGCTCTTCTGGTTGTGTGGAAAATTCAGGTTCTTCTGCAACGGATGATGATCTCTAGCTTTCCATTCCCCAAAACTGTATTCACCCAAGTAGTTTTAGTTCCTTATTCTCATCAGAAATATCCTGAAAAATAGAAAGATGAAAAAATATTCACTATGCAAATTCAAAAAATTATCTGTAAAAGAATACATTGAGATAAAAAAAAAAAGTAATTTGTTATTCTTTGAGCCAATTTTATTTATATAATACATACTGAGAAACAAGTTTGGAATAAAAATCTGCAATACAAATAAATCATATAAGCGTACAAACAGTGTATACACTAAAAAATTTAAATATTCATGTACCTGAAGGTGCAGCCCAACGGCAACAATTAAGGGGGGGGCTACCCAAGGTTTTCTATTATGTAAACAAGACACACCCAAAAAATGTAAAGTTTCCTTAAAGAATACATGTACGTGCGCGGGCTGGAGGTGAAAATTATTGTTGGTATATGCGCGATTATAGTATCATTGCATGTTGTTAACGTTTATGTGTTGTGTATGGTCAGCAAATAATCATAACAATGCGTGATGGGGAGCATAAGGTTTACCAAGGGCGGGTAATTCGATTACATTTACTTACCAGGAATCAATGGTGTTGGTGTATGTGTGTGGGGGGGGGGGGGACCCCTTTTCTTTGAAATGCTTTTTAAACTCACCTATCAAGGTTATGTATGATCTTCGTATAAAATCCCTTTCCTTTATCAGGTAATGTATGCTTCTCAGGATTCACAATAATAGATGAATGTCCCTGCAAATTAATTAGATATCACAAAGTATTAAAAAGACTACAGTATTTTATCGTCTATACAGCTGCGCATGGCCGCATTGCACTCAGACGATTACTAACGATTGGAAACATAAATGAAAAGCATTATAGATCTCTAATTAACGTATTTTACATTCTTTTTTATCAGATTTTATATAAAGAAATGTATAAATACCTCCTGTGTTCCTTGTTAGATATGGTGTTTCTTGTCAGTATATGCGTGATTCTGCATCTTCTGCGTTCAAATGGCATTTTATGACATAATCAACTGCGTCATTTTCTATCATAACGTTTTAAACACTGGTGTTTAATTTGCAACTTCTATATAAATACCATGCGTTTAATTTATAGATATATATGGTTAAGAAATGAACACTCGTGTTAAACACCGGTGATTAAAATATTGATACAATTATAAAAATCATCATGATATTTGTTTCTCTTTCCCCTTTAACAGTTTATAAACAAATTGAATTTTTGGCACAAAATTACTATAAATTAATGTTAATTGTAATTGCTTTAAGTATGATCTAAAGTCAACGTATTGCCTGGCTATTCGTATTTTTTTCTGTGTCGAAAAATATCTACTATTATGTGCGGAATTACTTCATAAATTAAGACATTGTACAAATGGCAAATGCACACAGATAATACTGAGAAGCAACACCTAATTTATTTTTTGATTTGATGCATATGAACATTACGTGTTTAAGATGGATGATTAAACATCCTACTTATTGAACACCAGTTTAAATAGTCGTGTTTATATGTAAAACGCTAATGTTTTGTGTTTAAACACACTATGTTTAATTGTAAAACACGACTGTTTAAAAATTAAACACAAGTTAAACATCATTTTTACAGTGTACCACGATCTAATGAAAATCGACTCATTCTCATTTCTACTTCAGTCCAAATGCCGGTACTTTTAGTCACTCTAGTTATCTAAAGGTAGATGTGTGGACAGGATCAGTCCAAAGACTGTTTCTACCTACGTAGCTATTAATAACTACCTAGGTATTTAAACCTACTTGAAGTAGCTACTTCTACCTACTTTTACCTATCTTTGAAAATAAGATTAAATAAAAATTATAAGGGGCATCTTTAAAACAGGTCAAGCTTGTTGTTTATCATCTTGTGCACTTACACAGCAAAATTCAGGATGTTAATTTGAAAACTTTACGACAGGGGAGAATGGAGAGGAAATGCATGAAAAATCATCCCAAAAACATTTAATCTATGAATGCATGAAGATAGTTTTTTAAAACTGATACAGATTTGTAATATACTGTACATTTGTACTTAGTTTTGATCCCTAGCTACCAGAAAATGAAACTGGATGCAGTTTTAATGCAAAATCGGTAAGTTAATAAGTTATCATTTTTGGCCAAAACTTTTGTCGTATTCATCATCAGTGTGACTGTATTAAGAAATTTGATGCTCACCATATTGCGCCGTTCCAGAGTTTGCATGGCCAAGAAATGAAAATGAAGCAAACAGTAGGTAAAAATAGCTACCTCTAGTAGGTTTAAATACCTAAGAAGCTATTAATAGCTACGTAGGTAGAAAATTAATAGTCTTTGAACTGGACTTGGTGGGAATTTCTTTGATTGTCCGTCGTCTGTTCTTCTTCAAGTTTGCTGGGTAATCATTTCAATAAACAACAGGGTCAGTTTCAAGTAAACTTGTCACAGAGTAATCTCAGCGAGATTCGTCGACACTAAAAATTTTGGAAAGACTTCTCTTTCGTAAGAGACGTCTGTCCAAAATATTTAGTCTCAACGAATCTTGCTGAGATTAGTCACAGAGTTTCTAAAGTATTTTAGTGTTTGCTCTCACATGAAACTGACCCCCCCCCCCCCCCCCACCACACACACACACACACACACACACAAAGAAAAAAGATAAGTATAAATCCAAAATTCTTCGAAACATAAATTTCATTGATTTTCCATTATCGACGAGTACAGGAAAATAAAAGTGAATGCGATTAGTATTGATTCAAAACCCCGAGCCATGTTGGACGAAATCGAAATAGTTAGCGTACGACTGGGAATTGCCCAAAGTGAAAGTAGGAATCATGGAATTGTGATTGAAAAATACACTTGAAGAAAATCTCTTCGTATGCCTAATGTAAGTATATCAAGTAAATAATTCTTCATAAACTAGCGCTCATTCTTTTAAATTGAAGATTTGCGATAGTTATGACATTGGGAATTTGTTATAATTATGGTTATACACTTAAACATGTTTACAGGTCAGCGCAATCTCTTAATTTAGCTAATGCCTACATGTATATCCTCAATTCTTATTATATCGCGGGTTCCATTGTATCGCGGTATATTTAAAAAATTCGGATACATAGCTCATATCCTTTATGTTGATGGACTATCTGTCTGAATGTTGACTTTTGTGATGATTAAAAAGTATGGAACATCCGTTGGAAAAAATTTTATTCAAATAAAACGTAATTTTACAGATTTCAATTCCCGTTTTTATTTTATTTAGACCATTGAATTTATAATCTGTAAAATCCATAATAAAGTCCATATTTTGAAAGTCTTAAGTTTGTATTATTGTTTAATTTTCATGTAGAATTACATTGTAAATTTAAAAATAAAAAATGAAGTCCATGTCAACTACAAGCTTCCATGTTTTCCCATACCGCGATACAATGAGACTCTCCAATTTAGGAGGTAATTAAGACTTCCTGTTTAAAAATAGACTACAAATTAAAATAATTTGACAATAAAAAGTTGGGGCATAGTCAGGTTTATGAATATCATTTAATGAAAGGTTAAAATAAAAATATGGAATTACACTTTTTATGCAAAAGAATTAAGTACCGCGATATAATGAGACACCAGTATATATCTTGAATTAGCTATATAGCTTTATTAAGCTATTCAGAATAGCTTGATAAAGCTATTTATATGCAGTATTTCACAAAAATGTTTTTGTAAGAAATAGACAAAATGTGGCAAGTATTTGACTTTTGATATCACTCTCTACCATCGGCTCATACATTTACCTCTGTTGTTGGCTCGCGTATATCACAGTGATAAGCACGAGAGATAGTGCGTTTCCTTTAATTCATTATATTTAATGTCTGGGGTAATGATAGTCCTTAAAGATAGATATTTACTAAATAGATATAAAACTAAAAGTTTAATTTGAAATAATCCTTGAAATGTTATGTTTTTAACATTATGTCAAAAATTGTGACGTGAGCCCATTGCAGAGGTGTCTGAGAGAAGAACGAACGACAACTCTGCATGGGAGATTGTTTTGATATGTGTACTACAATGTATAGACTATCAAAAAAGCAACCCAAATCAAAGATAGTTCTAACATTGCAGCTTTTGAATACTTTTAAGCGAAAGAGGTATTTCCATTATTTGGATAATTGTACACCACCTTCATTGCTTCACCAGGTTAAGAACAATCGCCCAAATAGGATATAATAACCCATCTGGGATATAATATCGGAAATGGGATATAAATTTACAGTGCAAAAAAATGATAATTTTTATTTTGGCTATAAATATCATAAATCTGCATCAAAATACTTTATAATGAATAACTTTTGGCAAGCAAGTTTTTCTGCAACCCTATGGGTTGTTAGATTGATCCCCAAGAAGTTTACGAACTTCGTAGGGATCAATCTCTTAAACAGAGGTCATACAGAAAAACTTGTTAACCAAAAGTTATCCCTTTATAAGTATCTTGATGCCGATTTATGGTATTTATAGCCAAGATAAAAATTTTCATTTTTTGCATTGTAAATTTACATGTATATCCCATTTGGGATATTATATCCCAAATGGGCTATTATATCCCATTTGGGTGATTGGTCCAAACCCGTTCACATTGTGCTGAATTATTACCAATCAGTTATCTTGTCGACCAGAATTGACCTCCTTTATAATTTCATTCAGGAAGTAACTGTGTGTTTCCACATCAATTGTTTATACATGTATAGCCTAAAAACTTTAAGAGCTCTCTCAAAGAGACACAATTTGATGAACAATTTATAACACATGTATTGTTTTCAGAAGAGTTCAAGGTTGAATACTATCATTACACGAAGGTGCAACTTTTTGTACATGTTTTTAAAAAAATAACACATTTAAGAAGAAAATGTGATAAAATAGCTAAATCAAGCTATTCAGAATAGCCTAATAAAGCTATAATTATATAGCTTATTCAAGCTATATAGCTTATTCAACATGATCAAGAGATTGTGCCTGACCTGGTTAAAGGGGCTCTAATGCATGCTTTAAAAAAAAAAAGCCTGCAATGATCTCGATGTATGCACAGTTTGTATCATATCATCATCAAAATGTGCTTTCTTATAAACATTTAGTTTTTTATCTTGCGAGCAAACTAGGTGATTATGGTGTTGTGATGAAAATGAAATTACTAGCATTTTATTATTGTAAAATAACAGCACATAAGACTGATCAAACTCACTTAAGTTTTTAGTTAAGAAAAGTTTCTTGTAGTGTCTTTTACAAGCAAAAATTGCTTGAATTGGCCCAAAATCAGGGAAATATGAGTGTGGATTTCTAAAACATTTCCAAACTTTGAAGTATGCATAAATGTAACCCTGATCACTTGATCTAACATCATGATCATTGATCACATATGTTTTGCAGAAGTGATACAGAAATGGCAATTTGCTTACATTTGGCATTGCAACAACAAGAGAGATGTCCATTCATGCGCAGTAGCATGATTCTTAATTAGTACAAGCATACTAAAAAATTTCCCCATCTGCTATACTTTCATACTTGCCGAGTATAATAATAGTTGCTGTCATGGTAGATTTTGCAAGAATATTGTCCAATAAATTGATTTCCTTTCAAATAATTTGTACTTTTCACAATTTATTTCTTGGGTATAAACCAATCTATATTTTGTTCAAACAGATGCCATTCCTCTGCAATACATGCAATGTCTCCCTGAATTCTCAAGAGCAGCTGGCCCAACACCAGTCTGGAAGTAAACATCTCAAGAAACTTAAAGCAGCAGGGATAGCTGCCACTGTAGTATCAAGTATGTAGTGATATTTATATTAGTATTCAGGATTTTCACACAACCTGAAAGGGAGTGTACTCTGCATGAAACCTCCGAGTATATGTTGAAAAAAATATTAACACAGTTAAGCCTTGGTATAACAGATACCAGTTGCAATAAATTTATAAAAACACTCATGTCTGATTGATTTATGGTAATTAATGTGTATTAGAATATTCTTAAAGCTTAATATATTAAAATTCTTTTATAGATACCTCTTGATAAACAAAAAGTTATTGATATTATCCAGTTCACAAACACTTTATTGCTCTGTTAATGCAGTATTTGTTTTTAAAATGATTTTATTAGACATCATATCAGGAAACAACTGTAGTTTGTATAAATAAATACTTAGCCCAAGAAAATCTTTTTCTGTATTTTTTTCTGACGTACTGTATTCACAATCCTTTTTTTAGCTCACCTGAGCTGAAAGCTCAAGTGAGCTTTTCTGATCACTCATTGTCCGTTGTCCGTCCGTCTGTAAACTTTTCACATTTTCAACTTCTTCTCAAGAACCACTGCGCCAATTTTAATCAAACTTGGTACAAAGCATACTTGGGTGAAGGGGAGTTTAAATTGTTAAAATGAAGTGCCAAGTCCCCTTCAAAGGGGAGATAAACAAGAAAATACAAAATTGGGTGGGGTCATTAAAAATCTTCTTCTCAAGAACCACTGGGCCAGAAAAGCTGAAACTTATATGGAAGCATCCTCGGGTAGTGTAGATTCTAAATTGTTCAAATCATGACCCCCGGGGGTAGGGCGGGGCCATAATAGGGAATCCAAGTTTTTCATTGAAATATATAGTAAAAATCTATTTCTCAAGAACCAATGAGCCAGAAAAGCTGAAACTTATGTGGAAGCATTCTGGGGTAGTGTAGATTCTAAATTGTTCAAATCATCACCCCCGGGGGTAGGGTGGGGCCACAATAGGGAATCCAATTTTTACATTGAAATATAGTAAAAATCTTCTTCTCAAGAACCATTGGGCCAGAAAGGCTGAAACTTATGTGGAAGCATTCTAGGGTAGTGTAGATTCTAAATTGTTCAAATCATGACCCCCGGGGGTAGGGCGGGGCCACAATAGGGAATCCAAGTTTTACATTGAAATATGTATTAAAAATCTTTAAAAATCTTCTCAGGAACATTGAGCCAGAAAAGCTGAAACTTATGTGGAAGCATCCTGGGGTCTTGTAGATTCTAATTGTTCAAATCATGACCCCAGGGGGAAGGGCGGGGCCACAATAAGTACTACAGGGGGGGGGGGGGGGAATCAGGTGAAAAACAGCAAGGCCAAAGCTACTTGTGTGAGCGTTGTGGCCCATGGGCCTCTTGTCTTTGTACAGCACATATTTTTTGTTTTATTTGGATGTAGGGCCAGGGTTTTCATCTTCAGCAACAACCACAGGGAAGAAAACATATGGAAACTTTGTGGCTTCTGATACCTTAATGCCCCTCACGGCTCAATTAATAACACCTCCCAAAAGTCTAGGTGTATCAACGACATCGGTAACAAATATTGAGGTTGTGCCCCCTCCACCACCACCACCACCACCACAACCCAAACAGGCAACAACACCTTTTATCAGTGCCACCTTAGTCAACAAAGTTAACCCCCCACCACCACCCCCTCCACAACCGACTGTGAAACAGCAACCACGAGCTCCTAGGGTCAATCCTGTTGTACAGGCTGTGGTTGATAATGCATTAGGTAGTTTTGAGCTTATTTTCTCAATAAGAAAATGTTTTAAGTTTATAAATTAATATTTCAAAGGGCTTCTAATATGGACAGCTTATTGTTTAAAATATTTTTATTCTTTTTGCTTTTTTTTTTTGAATATAGATATTTAACTTTAATATGATGTACTGTGCAATAAATTTAATATATTGTAGGCCTATATGTACATACATGTATGTATATATTCCCTTGCCCACATTGCTCCAATTCCTGATATTTTACATTTAGTCTAATTCAAATTTGTTTGCAAGGTACAATATTTGAAAGCTGGTATTGTGTAAGTGTGTTTAAGGAGTGTACATTAATTAATTTGTTGATGTACATGTAAATTGTTTGTTATCTACCATTTGACCTCCAAGTAGATTTGTAAAACATGGTCTGTTTATTTTTTCCAGATTTTCCTAGAAAATATTTGTGTGAATCCATAAATTTAAGGTATGGGGTCCTTGAGGGAGTCAAACTGTAAGGGAAGGATTTTTTTTAGATCAAGTTGCAGTTGTGATTTTGCAATTGTAATATGATCATAAAATTCTTCCACTAGATATTTCATATGACTTCATTTTACCTGTCATAAAAATGTAAACAAAGCAGTCAATTTAGATATTAAATGTCTTTTATGCATAGTGCTATGGGTTTTGAATACCTGGTATTACTTTTTCATAAATGTGTGTCTTGTCCATGTATTGTCTATCCATCCATCTATCTGTCCATTCCATTTTGCATTCCACTCAGTTTCGAAGATAATAGATGCATTGTATTTTCATAAAACACTTGATCACTGCATGGCTTCAATGTTTTTGAACTTGTTTATCTGCTGTACATAAAAAGAATGATCTGGGAACAATAAGAAACAAGCAAATTCAGAGAATTGAGTGGTCTTATTAGTTGAGGTGCAGTGATTTATGGCATATTGTAACTGTCTTGTCTGTCCATCATGCAATGAAATAATTAATGATTTTGAGGCAATATATGTTCTGGTACAGTTGGGTCTACTGGTTCAGACCAAAGAAACAAGGTACATTTCAAATCATATTGGAATATAAATGTACCATTGAAAAAAGGTATTCACTGTCATATGGACATATTTCCAAATTTATCATTGGGGTATATTTTTGAAATAAAATAATTAGAAATTAAAGCAACATACAAAAACCATAAATTTAATTAAAATTGTTTTCAAAATGTGTATATATATATATATATATATATATATATATATATATATATATATATATATATATATATATATATATATATATATATATATATATATATATATATATAATATGTGTATGTCAAAATGCCTTAGCCTGGTCCTACCTTGACAGACTTTTTTATGCTTGAGTAAGATGAAGTCATAGAGATCAATAGAATTCAGTTTGAACTCAACAGGATTCCAAATATTTGAGCAGATAACTGTATGATACTGACCCAGAAAATTAAAAAAAAAAATCATACAGTTCTGCTCAAATAACAGAGATGGTATATACACTTTAATTTGTTGTGTCATCAAAATTTATGCTTCAGATAAATAAATGTCCAGTTATAGTGATACCAAACATAGGAAATAGGTCTTTAAAAAAGAGATTTTTATTTATCATTCAGGCAAACTACCACTGAAGAGAAAGGCATATGATGGACACTGTGAGATATGTAAAGTGATTTACACATCAGAAAGCCATGAAAAACAACATCTGATGGGAAGTAAACATGCCAAGAAAGCCAAAATTGCTGCAGCAGCTCAGGGTATCTTAACATTAATTTTCTAAGTGACTTGCACAAATGATGATTATTTAAGGCAGCTAGGGCTGTTTTCTCTTAAAGAAAAATATCCCTACATTTCTTTAGATGTCTTTAAGCTCCTTTCATGCAATGAATTTTGACACCATAACAGAGAATACCAAGTTACGTGGAAATTCTATTTTAGATCAAATCTGACTAGAGTATTAATATAATACTAGCCTCTTGGTAAATGTTTGAATGTACAGTTGAACTTTATGTCTTGAGCAACTTTTCTTTTTCCAAATACATGTAGTAGGAATATCTTGGAGTCAATGATCCAGATTTTATTATGACTTTGAAATTAAATATAATTTTAACATCTCGAGCTATCAGATATGAGGAATTTTTTTTGAAAACCATTTCCATTTTTAGCTCACCTGAGCTGAAAGCTGAAGTGAGCTTTTCTGATCACCCGTTGTCCGTCATCCGTCCTTTCACCTGTAAACTTTTCACATTTTCAACTTCTTCTCAAGAACCACTGGGCCAATTTTAACCAAACTTGGTACAAAGTATCCTTGGGTGAAGGGGAGTTTAAATTGTGAAAATAAAGGGCCAAGTCCCCTTACAAGGGGAGATAATCAAGAAAAGACAAAAATAGGGTGGGGTCATTAAAAAATCTTCTTCTCAAGAACCACTGGGCCAAAAAAGCGGAAACTTATGTGGAAGCATCCTGGGATAGTGTAGATTTTAAATTGTAAAAATCATGACCCCAGGGGGTAGGGCGGGGCCACAATAGGGAATCCAAGTTTTACATTGAAATATTTAGGAAAAATCTTTCAAAATCTTCTTCTCAAGAACCACTGGGCAAGAAAAGATGAAACTTATGTGGAAGCATCCTGGGATAGTGTAGATTCTAAATTGTTAAAATCATCACCCCAGGGGGCAGGGTGGGGCCACAATAGGGAATCCAAGTTTTACATTGAAATATATAAGAAAAATCTTTAAAAATCTTCTTCTCAAGAACCACTGGGCCAGAAAAGCTGAAACTGAAGTGGAAACATCCTGGGAAAGTGTAGATTCTAAATTGTTAAAAACATCACCCCCGGGGGTAGGGCGGGGCCACAAAAGGGAATCCAAATTTTACATTGAAATATATAGGAAAAATCTTTAAAAATCTTCTTCTGAAGAACTACTGGGCAAGAAAAACTGAAACTTAAGTGGAAGCATCCTGGGATAATGTAGATTCTAAATTGTTCAAATCATCACCCCTGGGGGCAGGGTGGGGCCACAATAGGGAATCCAAGTTTTACATTGAAATATATAGGAAAATTCTTTAAAAATCTTCTTCTCAAGAAAAACTGGGACAGAAAAACTGAAACTTATGTGGAAGTATCCTGGGGTAGTGTAGATTCTAAATTGTTAAAATCATGACCCCCGGGGGTAGGGCGGGGCCACAATAGGGAATCCAAGTTTTACATTGAAATATGTAAGAAAAATCTTTAAAAATCTTCTTCTCAAGAAAAACTGGGACAGAAAAACTGAAACTTATGCGGAAGTATCCTGGGGTGGTGTAGATTCTAAATTGTTAAAATTATGACCACCGGGGGTAGGGCGGGGCCACAATAGGGAATCCAAGTTTTACATTGAAATATGTAAGAAAAATCTTTAAAAATCTTCTTCTCAAGAACAACAAGGCCAGAAAAACTGAAAGTTATGTGGAAGCATTCTGGTGTAGTGTAAATAATCTTTAAAAATCTTCTCAAGAAAAACTGGGCCAGAAAAACTGAAACTTATGTGGAAGTATCCAGGGGTAGTGTAGATTCTAAATTGTTAAAATCATGACCCCCGGGGGTAGGGCAGGGCCACAATAGGGAATCCAAGTTTTACATTGAAATATGTAAGAAAAATCTTTAAAAATCTTCTTCTTAAGAACAACAAGGCCAGAAAAACTGAAACTTATGCAGAAGCATCCTGGTGTAGTGTAGATTCTAAATTGTTAAAATCATGGCCCCTGGGGGTAGGGCAGGGCCACAATAAGTATTACAAGGGGGGAAATCTTGTAAAGAACGGCATGGCCAAAGTTACTCAGGTGAGCGATGTGGCCCATGGGCCTCTTGTTTCAAGATGGTAAGGTTTGACTTTTAATTGTAACCTTACTAGGTATAATGACTGAATCTAAAAAAAAAATTTTGTGGGTTTATATTTATGGATCCTTCTAATTTAATTTTGTAGGAAATATCCCGTTGGCAGCTTTTACTGGGTTTAACTGTACGTATTGTAATGTGGTCCTGAATTCACTGGAACAACTGACAGCTCATAGAGAAGGTATTGTATGTCATCAAAGTATCAGGATTAAAAACAATACAGAATAATGAAATACATGTATCTTGTACATTTTTCTTGTGCTAAAAAGTTTTAACATGTTTCAAGTGCCTCAGTGATCTTCTAAAATTAAATGAAATTCTGGATTATTACCCTTGAAATATTGACAAAAAGGCTCGGAGACAAAATTGGTTTGTTAAGCATTCTGTTTATTGATGTATTATTTATTAAAATGAGCTGCTTGACTTATTGGAATTGAAACATTATTATAACATTAGGGAATTATTCTTATTCCAGTGATATTTATGATGATTTTCAAAGTAGAGTACAAATTTTATTTATAGGATTTTAGGGAATGTAAGACTCAATGAGAATAATTTTTCTGCATTTCAGGACAAAAACATAAACAGACAGTGTTAAAATTACAAAAACAAGGAAAAGTCCAAGAAGAATGTAAAGATGTTACAGTTGTTAAAGTGTAACAGTTACTGTAATGTTTTACTTTACTAGATGTGTTTAAGTGTAACAGTTACTGCAATATGTTTACTTTACTATATGTAAAAGTGTAACAATTACTGTAATAGTTTACTTTACTATGTGTGCAGTATTTAGGACATTTTACTGAATATGACTCCTTTGGTATCAATAGTTAGCAAGATGTTAATATGTGTTTGTTATGATTGTAATCATTTATGTGCTTAGTATAAATGAAATATTCATGGAAAATAAATTTATGACGATGACTTGATTTGATCAAGAATTTCTAAGAAAATTAAAGTTTGTTTTTTTTATAAAATATGTGTAGTTTCTTTTCTTTTCATTTTATTTTGGATTTATGAAAAGGACAAAAATATTCAACTTTAATTTCCAACTTGACTTTTCACAAGTTTATTTAGACACATTTTATGGGCTTCTTTTATGTATGATATCTCCGTATTAGTGTCATATTTATTTTTTGCATTACCCTCTCCATTTTCTAAAAGAAAACTCAAAAAGTGATAGATCATACATTTCTTAACCATATCTTATACATATATTTATGATTAAAACAAGAGGCCCAAGGGCCTTAACAGTCACCTGAGTATAATACAACAATTTAGAGGATCAATAGAGTATAAAATAAACTGATAGATGAAGCTTTTGCCCAAAAGCAAGAGAAATAGGATGATTAGGATCAATGAAATAATTAATCTAGTATTCAGTAACATTATTTATAAATTTAGTTCTAATCTGTCCCCCATTTATCACTAATCGCCATGCAGACTATTAACAAAGTATTAGTGCTTCTGTACTATTTTTAACCCCATATCATAACTTCTCATATCAGTCTCTCTTGGTCTTTGAAGAACAATTAATAAGATAAGTTACTTTTGACTCATTTTTATTTATCTACCTGATCATTAAAACTAGCTATAAGAGTACTTTTTGCATTATACAATAAAAAAAATTGCATAATTCACTTATTCTATTAACCTTTCAAATATATTATTTACAGTGATTAATTTATCAAATGATGGCAAAGGGGAATAATTTCTATCAGTAGAATAAAAATTAATAGAGCCCTGGCCAGGACCAGAACACGACCAAATGGTCCAAATGTTCAAAAATCTGGTAAAAATACCCTTTGTTTAGTAAAACTTTTACACTGTTTATACCTCTGATATGCAGAGAAGATTTTCAAAGAAATAATGCATTTTCACTACAGATTCAACACAGTCCTACCCTAACACCAACACCAGAACCCAAGAAACACCAGAAACCCTGACCCTGGCACCACAAGTTTTAAAATCCTTTTAACGAGGTTCGCTCCTTAGCTTTTGAGCAGATTTATATCTTAACCTATATTTTAAAAATTCTGCATAATGTTGTAATTCTTGCAATAAAATTGGATTCTACAATGCCAATTACACTATATTCAGTTAAAACTCCATGATTAAATTCCATACCAAAAGCATTATGTGAGGAACTATATTTTTGGCGGAAGGTTTTTTTTAGAAGAAAATTATCATTTTTTCTCTTTCGAAGTATTTAAAGTATGTTAAGTTTGGATTCCTATTTTTACATGCAGTCTACACACAGAGTTATTTTGTGCAGTGAACTGTTTTATACTTGTCCTAAATTATATACGAAATAAACTGTCATGAATTCTATCATCATATTTGATAAATATAGCAAATATATTGTGAAAATTAAGAAAAAAATATCCCTATTTTAAGCTTAAAATTAGCACTATTAAAGTAATATCTAAAAATTAACATCACAGACCCCCACTTTTTATTTTCTTTTCTGAATATATAAGATACTTTTAACCATTCTTCTTAAATTCAGTGAAATGTCATTACTTTCAAATGATTTTTTTTTTGCTTGTTAAAGTTCTAATGCCAGAAAAATGAAATTTTTTTAGTGCAAAAAGGTCAAATAATTGAACATGCGGAGTAATTTGAAAAAAAATTTCATTGTCACAAATTTTAATGTGTCTATTCAAGATGAAATAGGACTGTGTTTGTTCCCATAATTTATTTGAATAAAAAATATTGGAGGAAAACTTTAAAATTGATTTATGTGTAAGACATATTTACAGTGCAAAAAGGTCAAACTAAATGCTCTGTAGCGCCAAAAGAAGCGCATTGACCCCCAATTTTTGTTTTGATTTTTAATTAAGCTATGGGTATAAATTCTAAAAATATACTTGATAAAAAATTCTCATTACTTTTGATGGCAGGATCCAACCTCCTTAAGGATCACCCTTGCTCATCATAACTATGCACTTTGTTTATCTGCTCAACACTAAAGAGCAGACTGAATTATTCAATAGAATCATTGCATTTTCACTATATTATCAATAAAGCCCCACCCTTTCACCAGAACATCTGACCCAGGGGCCATGAAACTCACAATTCTGCAAGAAACACTCTTGATCATCATAACTATATACACATAGTTTCTTTGCTTTATAACCAGGAGCAGAAAAGAATATTTTGAAAGAAATAATGCTTTTCACTTTAAAATCAAGACCTCCCCCCTTTCACCAGAACCCCCATCTCTGGGGCCATGAATTTCACAATTTTGGAAGAGGCATCCTTGCTTAACATAATCATGCACTTGGATTATTTAAATAATACCCAGTAGCAGAGAAGATTTTCCAACTATTAATGCATTTTCACTATATAATCAATAGAGCCCTGCCCTAACTCCAGAACCCCAACCCAGGGGCCATGAATTTCAAAATTTTGGAAGATGCACCCTTGCTCATCTTCACTTTATACTTAGTTAGTCTGTTTAAAACCCAGGAGCAGAGAAAAAGATTTTCCGACAATTAATGCATTTTCACCATATAATCAATAAAGCCCCACTCTTAACACCAGAACCCCTGACCCAGGGGCCATGAATTTCAAAATTTTGGAAGAGGCACCCTTGCTCATCATAACTATACACTTAGTTAGTCTGTTTAAAACCCAGGAGCAGAATAGAAGACTTTCCAACAATAAATGCATTTTTACTAAATAATCAATAGAGCCCTGTCCTAACACCAGAACCCCTGACCCAGGGGCCATGAATTTCACAATTTTGAAACAGGGACCCTTGCTTGTCATAACTATGTACTTCAGTCTGTTTAATACCCAGTAGCAGAGATTTTCCAACAATTAATGCATTTTCACTATATAATCGTTAGAGCCCTGCCCTAACACCTGAATCCCTAACCCAGGGGCCATAAATTTCAACATTTTGGAAGAGGCACCCTTGCTCATCATAACTATATATATATATATACTATAGTTAGTTAGTCTGTTTAAAAGTCAGGACCAGAGAACAAAATTTTCCAACAATTAATGCATTTTCACTAAATAATCATTAGAGCCCAGCCCTTACACCAGAACCCCTTACCCAGGGGCCATGAAAATCACAATTTTGGTAGGCGACTCAATGCTTATTACAATCATGCTAACAATTTGACTGCTCAAAATCCAGGAGTGAAGAAGATTTTTTAAAGATTGCATTAATTTTGGTGGTGTTGGCCCCACCCCTCTGGCCCCAGGGGGGGCAGGGACCACCAAATTCAAAATTTTTGTTCCCGTTCACCAATAGAAGCTATATGCTAATTTTGGCTGAAATTAGTTCAGCGGTTCCAGAGAAGAAGCTGAAATCTTCAAATGTCAACTCACAACAACTGTCACACTACACACAATGACAACAGACAAAAACAGATAGCAATAGGTCATCTGAGTGACTCATGTGACTTAAACATATAATGATGTAATGTCCACTGTAGTTCAATGCACTTCAAGGTTAGCACAATTGCTAGATCACCGATACACATCTATTTAAGATTTTTTAGAAAAGCAACTTCAAACTGAGTTATATAATATGTTTCACCTTTCCTGGTAATAAAATTCTCAAAAAAGGGAAGAGAAATTGTGAACATTCTTCTTGATTTTTGGCAGCATCCTACTTTCAAGCTTGGTACCCAAAGAAAACCCAAATATCAAAGTTCAGATTACAACCAAATGTCTTACAACCTATTGAGTATTTTGTCAACAGAAAACAAAAACAGGGAAAATGCATTATTAATTCTTTACTTTTACAAATAAATATATAACAATAAAAAAAATTCAACCTACAGATAAAGCTGCACAGTTACAAAAAGATCTCCCTCTAGTCACAGATAAAAAAGATTCTTCCTTCTTTCTGTGCTAAACACTGAATTACCTCCCTTACAATGGGTAGAAAGCACTTGGAATTTCTGTCCTGAAACATGAATCTTGATAAACTTGTACATGTTACTGAGATCCTAGCTTCTACATCACAGGTTTGTTTTTATTACAGAGAGCTTGATAATTCTACCAAAGCAGCAGAATCAAGCAAATGGCATACTTGATTCTGATGATATGGCGTGCCTGGGTAACACTGGGGTTGACCAATGACACACTTGATCAATTGATTGTAAAAGTACTAGTATTCCAAACGCATCAAGCCGGGTGACCCAATTGAGCAGAAAATTTTGATAGGCTTAGGCAGCTTCAACATGGCATCCTTGAAGATATTAATATTGAAAGGTGTGAAGCTTTTGATTGAGCTTCTCTGGCAAAATGAACACAATTCTGTAAGTGCAGTCCTTTTTTATGTTAGGTAATGTTTTACAATATTTCCATTACTACATTAGCCAGGTCACTTAATTCTAAGCTCGTAGATGTGTTTTCCGGGCTTAGTTTGGTTTGGTCTATCAGAATCAAGTATGCTAGATAAGAAATGCAAAGAAAATTCTTTTAATTACATGTATATAGCCACAGTGCACCAATTATCATCAATATGAAGTATTGATTTTGAAATAAATCTTGAGAAAGTGAAATCTATAAAGAATATACATGTATGTTACAATTAATAACATATACATTGTATATCTATCCATATTTACACTACCTTGTTGTAATACAGTATGACCAAGAATTACATCTTTGTTTTAAATTCAACATCGGTATTAAATTTATGACATGAACAAATAAATTCTCTATCCTTACAATAAAACTCAAATACTGAATTAAATATTCTGAAATATAAATAATATCGAACAGGTACATAAAATTTGCATTTGAATCACCTTTTAAACACAACCAGCTTTCACAGCAACAAAATAAAGCACATGGGGGTGTCAAAATATGTAGAAAATAATCCAAGCTGAACACAAAATTAAATTAATCACAACCCAGAACATAAGACTTGCCATTAAGCAGTGATATGATTGAATTAATGTATCAATTTATTTAGTACATTGTACATGCATGTATATTAACTGATAAAGACAAAAAGATCAGTATGTTCAATATACAATGTACATTAGAACACGATAATTATTATGTACATTCAATGCTAATTTTTCATCATTTATATAAATTGTAAAAAGGATTAAAGGATTACAGGATGTGCATTTTATCTTGTCTCATTTTCAGTTTATTTTCAAACAATAAAAATGATATACATATACTAGTACTAAACAGAAATCAAAATATAGCAAGACTGTCAAAATTAAAAGCTCTGATGAGTGGGATTTTCTCTTAATAATGCAAAATGATATGTACTGGTACTAGCTCATAAAACAAAATCTGAACTGAAAAAAAAAATCAAAATGCTATGAATCCTTTACAAAAACAAATGTGCAACATTTCAGTCATAAAGGCACTATTTTTCAAACAAAGACTTCTGCATAAAAATTCAGACTCAAATTTACAGGCTATATCTACATGTATAGTTCTTTTTGTCTTAAAAATTTTCCACTATATGTATTGTTTCGTCACACCCCAATTAAAATTTATGCTGTGTACATTAGTTCATGAAAATTGGATTTTGTTCATATTTTTTTGCAATTCAAATTTGAAATATATCAGGTGGGTCATTGAAAATGGCAAGAAAAATATCACAGTTTGAATGACACAACTAATTGACATTCACATACAGAGAATCATGCCCCAACACTAAAAATAGCTAACTCTGAAAATAAAAGGGACATGCATATCAGCAAGCTCTTAAAACAAGTATGTATTATATATATATGTCAGGATTTACACAACCGTTAAATTAAACTCCTATTTCATAATTAATAAACCATAACAGCATCTACACATATCAGTACATAATCATGTACATGTGTATACAGAAAATATAATGAGGATCATAAACGATAAATATTCTTCTTAAGCTTTCATCTGTATTGCTCTAAATTATGATCATAGACAAATTATTACACATTTCTATGTATTGATGCTAACAGTTTTTCTGTAAATAAAAGGAGATGCACACCACTGATATCTATGGCAGTAGTAAAATGGACCTAACAAAAGAGACTTCCAAGTTTTACTTATACGAAATTAAATTCAAACACACCATGAAATGCCTCTATAAAATTATTAAAATTGCAAAGAATCAATTGGATAATCACTGATAGCATATGGAAAAGCACTTGAAAAAAGGGTATTTGGGAATGTCTTGATTAAATTCATTTTTCTAAGAGGGGAAAGTCAGCTTCCAGGTCTATATACAAGCTTCTAAAAACTAATACACATACGAGTTTTTGGAATGGCAATCTTTGATATACAAGAAGCAAAAAAATGTTTTACATTTTGTAAGAAAGATAAGCAAAAATAATAAATATTCCTGAAAACTGAGTATGTAGAAACAGCACATGCAATGAGACAGAATGAGTACATGTAGGAGTTTTTATATGCCAGAGTATGATTATATTTTTCAACCGATTAAAATATTACAAGTCTAGTAATCCAGCCTCTGCAAACATAACAAAATGGCCAACCATAATCAAAACACTTCTTTGAAAGCCACATTCACACACCTTGACAGTACTATATGCCTTGCTCGGATGATCATGGAAATATTTGCTGGACAGCAGCTCATGGGCTGCAGTGGCTTAATTTCCCATTTGCATGATTTGAGGGTATTAAAATTTCCAATCGTTAATGATTAGCTTCACTTTTTGTGAGGTGGTTTGGACGATGTCTTCCACAAGGCATTGTGTATAACTATAGCATCTATTGACACAGACAAGTGTTTGGTGGAAGTCACCTCGCTGAAGCTTTTTCCTCCTGAATTATACCTTCAGATAAAAACAACTTTGTAGATAAGGAATTTATAGACAACAATGAATCTTCTCATCCACGTGATTAAAATAAACAGAAACATATATGTCATATACTGTACATGTATTAAAGCAAGTCGCAGTTAAATTCGGATTATGACTACCAATATGTAACATTCCCAATGAAGTCAGAAACCATGGGCCTGATCCTGCATACATGAAAATTCATTTATTGCTGTGAATCATTATTTATAGTTTTCATATTGAAATTTTAACAATGATTAGTAGGGATGGCAATCGAATACAGAATTGCTAATCAGTTAACCGCAAAATGTTCCGACCGATTAACCGGTTAATCGTATTAAAATACACATTTTCTAGACATATTTTTTTTTCATGTAGCGCTATACATGTAAAAGCATTGTCAAGAAGACTAAAACAGACGTTAGAATTGAAGTTACAAATCTTCTGTTACCTTTATCAGGAAACTACATGTACATGTATTTTCTTTCAATTTCAATAGTCAAGTAGACAAGGAAAATAGACAAGGAAAAATAAGGAAACCCATGAACATGCCCGAGAAATCAGACATTGATAATTTTCCAGAGCAGATGTCACAGAAGTTCATACTGCATCGTCACTATAATCAAAATTAAGTCGGAATAATTATTAACTTTCACTTAATTTACGTTGCTTGTTTAATGCTTTAATTTGATAGATAACGGCAAAAGATAGACATATCAATTCAAAGTGCTCAACGATAATTTATTTAATATCATCAAAGAATTAGAGGACTGTCGTGATAACTACATGGTGTTTAAACTGTAATTAACACTTCACAAACTGACCAATTACCCCGCGATCTCAATCAGGAGAGTCATAATTACCGCCGAATCAGCTTAAATAGATATGTGAAAACGTTACATTATCAACGTTTATGCAGAGGTTTCTTTTTTAAAATGAATTTGAAGAGAATTACGTTAAAATTTAGATATATTTTATTTTTTTTCCGACTAACCGATTACAGATTTTCTAACCGATTACCGTCGTTCCCACCGAGTAATCGGTCAACCGGTTACAAATTGACATCCCTAATGATTAGTAAAGATGTATACCCACAAAAAATGACTTTTTATGTACATACATGTACACATGTATATTTATAACTTACTTGTAAAACCTCTCAATCATTTTGCTGGTGATTTGTTTGGGTCCTATTCCATGGATTTTGAGGGAATCCTCTGTATCTGGATCAAAGCTGTAAAGTCCGCGGAACTGACAGGAGTGGTCTCGGAACAGGATCAGGAAATGTTTAGCATCTGACTTGGCCAGAACCTGCACATACAGCAAATAGTATTTCCAGTTTGTAAATCATGTATAAGAATCATTTATTTAGTAGTTGTGTTGCATAAATTTTGAAAAACCAAATCTATCACAACCTCAAAATAGTTTCAAAAAATTTTTGGATGAAAACCTTTTCATTACTGATAGAAAATTAATTGAACAGAACAAGAGACTGCAATTATTTACAAGTTACATGTAAGATATCAAAGAAATAGTAAATGTTCCTTCACCTCCAGAACTTTGTTTTTCTGATCAGCATTGACAGGACCTGCTAACACACACTGACTGATGGCATTAATGATGATGTGACGGTTTGACTTAGAGCTTGGCTTGACAAACAACTTAGGACCTTTGAAGAAATAACTATGATTAATATGAATTGAAAATCAACAAAACATAAGTATACAGAAAAAGTCAAATATTTCACAAGTGAAAGCATGTAGAAATTCTTTGACCAAGTTCAAAACTTTGATCAAAGAAAGTATTAAGCATTAATTTTTACATAATGTACATCACAATCTGTTCCTAATTTACCAGACATGTATTATCCCCCATTAATTGTCAGGTATTCATGATCAGGACAGTTACCTGCATAATCAGATCCAGATTCGCTGCTCTCTGTACTTCCTCTTCCTTTTCCCTTTAATCGACCAAGATCTACCAAGACAGAATTAACATTTCAATCTGCACACTTAAACAATGTTCACAAGACTTCAGAGTACATAAATAAATGGAGGAAAAACAATTTTACCTGGTGATGGTGGTCTTCTGTAGGTCAGTCTTCCCTCTGTGGAGCTGGTTAGGGTGTTACATGATGCTAAAAATAGATCCCACAGATTAATGTCAGTAATCCTCACCAGTGCTCTTAAGAGACCATGGTGCATACATGTATTAGTAAAGATCAAATAAATTACACAAACAAAACACATTGCAATCTGATTAATTTTTCCACAACATGCAAATTTTCCCAAATTGTTTTGAGACCGGTGCACAATTTATTCAACTTTGGGACTTGTGTACATAGAACAAATGCAATTTTCCCAAATTGTTTTGATACCAGTGCACAATTTATTCAACTTTGGGACTTGTGTACATGGAACAATGCAATTTTCCCAAATTGTTTTGAGACCAGTGCAGAATTTATTCAACTTTGGGACTTGTGTACATAGAACAATGCCAGACAGATTTTATAACACCAGCATTTATAATGCCAGTAGTTCTGAGGAAAAAAGAAACTAAATTAAAAATGACAGAAAGAGAAAAAAATCTAGAAAAATAAAGGAAACTAAAAACATTGACACACCTGCTTTTCGTATTTTTCCTGGGCGTGGTGCTAAGCTTGGGGGTTTCCTAGGACCAACACCCGCTGAAACAAGCAAATCAGGTGCAACTCAAGCTCACATGCCGAACAGAAACACAGAACGTCATCACAAATTGCCAATCAATTGTGTTATCAACAAATAATGCATTAAAAACACAGAAAAATGAAATGAATCCTACTACAAATCAACACTAATCAATATGCTTAAACATGTATGCTAGTAGAACTGAATCTTTTCTAAACTACAGCTGTCTTTATCAATAAAATTTGAATGTTTATAAATTAAATTTGTTTGTATGCATAATTACTACATTTAACAAATACTTGTAAATTAATCTAAAGTGTATGCACATACATGTACCTGTGGTACATATAAATTTGAATATGGTGATTTAAATTTCTAAATCAAAGTAAAAGAATCAATTAGGTTATATATATATATGTATTTGAAACATCTCTAAATTTAAATAAGATACATGTATGTCTACTAATCTATGAGCTAAAAAGAAAATGTCAAATCTTTTTCAGAGCAAAATCATGACACACAAAACTCTAGCATTTTCTTCAACAATAAAATATATAAATTATATAAAGAAATATGTGCAGAGACAGTTGTATTTCAACAAAAAGTTATATTGTAACACAACTTTGGTTGACAGAAGTAAGATTTATATCTGAAATGTATAATATATCTATTAAGTAATTAAAATGCAGATGTATAATAAAAGAAAATTTCTGCAAGATCTGTAAATTTAAAAGTAAAAGATAAGCCATGAGTAAACAATCATTAAAATATAAAGTGAAACATGTCTAATCCAGATGTTGTGTTTTACGAAATCTTGCCTCATATAATTTAAACTTTTAAGTCCCTTTCAGTAAATTCAATTGTTTTTTTTAAAAAGTTGTTTAGTCTGGAACAGTGACTATTCTGACCAATTTCAGTGTCCTGATTAGACAAGTTTTACTGTAGTAAGGACAGTTGCTTTTCATAGACAAGAGAAAAGAAAACTAGCGACTACTTACAAGAGCCTGTGTGACCAGGACTGATAGTGAAAGCTTGAGAAGACAGATCCTCTTGAGAACTATTGGAGAGCAAACCTTCCACAGATCCAGACTGAGGGTCCCCCTTGACAAACATAGACTTAGGGCGCTGCTTTTCTCGAGTCTTGGACCTGTTTCTGCGGACAGGTGGTGCGTAGTCATCCTCTTCCTGATGTTTTTTGTCCTGGTATTGGCGAAAGATTTCCTCCCTCCGTGCTTTTTCACTGGCTTTCCTTCTTTCTGCTTCTTCTTGTTTAATTCTATGGAAAAAAAATTATCATATTTTTTAGAAATGTTGTAAAAATGAAGAAAAACTATTTCTGCTAAAAAGCACTAACAGAATATACCAGTAGAGACTTAAAGGACTCAAGGATGTCAAAAACAAGAGGCCCATGGGCCACAACGCTCACCTGAGTCAATATGGCCCTGCTGTTCTTTGTCAGCAGATTTCTTCTTCTATATATTCATACGTAAAGCTTTGATCAACTGTTCTAGGCATAACCTATCCCCATTTGCCATGTTTTGAATGAAATTGAATCTAAACTTTCTGAGGATGCTTCTATATTCATATAACTAATCATGGTTTTGCTGTTCTTGAAACGGAATTTTAAAGATGTCTGCCATCCTACCCTGGGGGGAAGGAAGGGAGGGGGGGTTCAAGATTTGAACAAACTTGAATATACACTACCTAAGGATGCTTCCATATCAATATGACTAATTATGGCTTTGTTGTTCTTGAGAAGAAGATTTTTTAAGATATTTCTTATATATATTCTTTTGTTAAACTTTGATCCCCGATTATGGCCCCACCCTACTACTGGAGGATGCCTTGAACAAACTTGAATCTACAATACTTGGGGATGCTTCAATATCAAAATGACTAATCACGGCTTTCCTGTTCTTGAAAAGATTTTAAAAGATTTTTCCTATTTATTCCTATGTAAAACTTTGATCCCCCATTGTGGACCCACCCGACCCCCGGGGGTCTTGATTTCGACAAATTTGAATCTACACTACCTAAGGATGATTCCATATCAATATGACTAATTGTGGGTTTGTTGTTCTTGAGAAGAAATTTTTTAAAGAATTTTCCTATATATTCCTATGTAAAACTTTGATCCCCCATTGTGGCTCCATCCTACCCCCGGGGGTCATGATTTGAACAAACTTGAATCTACATTACCTGAGGATGATTCCATATCAAAATGACTAATTGTGACTTTGTTGTTCTTGAGAAAAAGATTTTTAAAGAATATTCCTATATATTCCTATGTAAAACTTTGATCCCCTATTGTGGCCCCACCCTACCCCCGGGGGTCATGATTTGAACAAACTTGAATCTACATTACCTGAGGATGATTCCATATCAAAATGACTAATTGTGGCTTTGTTGTTCTTGAGAAAAAGATTTTTAAAGAATTTTCCTATATATTCCTATGTAAAACTTTGATCCCCTATTGTGGCCCCACCCTACCCCCGGGGGTCATGATTTGAACAAACTTAAATCTACACTACCTGAGAATGATTTCATATCAATATGACTAATTGTGGGTTTGTTGTTCTTGAGAAGAAGATTTTTAAAGAATTTTCCTATGTATTCCTATGTAAAACTTGGATCCCCCATTGTGGACCCACCCTACCCCCGGGGGTCATGATTTGAACAAACTTAAATCTACACTACCTGAGGATGATTTCATATCAATATGACAAATCATGGCTTTGCTGTTCTTGAAAAGAAGATTTTTAAAGAATTTTCCTATATATTCCTATGTAAAACTTTGATCCCCCATTGTGGCCCCACCCTACCCCCGGGGGTCATGATTTGAACAAACTTGAATATACATTACCTGAGGATGATTTCATATCAATATGACTAATTGTGGCTTTGGTGTTCTTGAGAAGAAGATTTTTGAAAGAATATTCCTATGTATTCCTATGTATAACTTTGATCCCCCATTGTGGCCCCACCCTACCCCCGGGGGTCATGATTTGAACAAACTTAAATCTATACTACCTGAGGATGATTTCATATCAATATGACTAATTGTGGCTTTGTTGTTCTTGAGAAGAAGATTTTTAAAGAATTTTCCTATATATTCCTATGTAAAACTTTGATCCCCCATTGTGGCCCCACCCGACCCCCGGGGGTCATGATTTGAACAAACTTGAATCTACACTATGTAATGAAGGTTTCCCATAAGTTTCAACTTCTCTGGCCCAATGGTTCTTGAGAAGAAGATTTTTAAAAAAAGACACCAAATTTTCACTTATTCTTAATTATCTCCCCTTGGAAGAGGGCATGGCCCTTCATTTGAACAAACTTGAACCCCCTTCTTCCAAGGATGCTTTGTGGCAAGTTTGGTTGAAAATGGCCCAGTGGTTCTGGAGAAGAAGTCGAAAATGTGAAAAGTTTACAGACGGACGGACGGACGGACAGACGGACTACGGACAAAATGTGATCAGAAAAGCTCACTTGAGCTTTCAGCTCAGGTGAGCTAAAAAAGTCCTTTAAAAAAATAACTTTTTTTAAAAAAATTTATTTTCATCCTCGCTATAAATATGAATTTTCTATAAACATTTTTCTCTTTGATCAGTTTGAATTTAAAAAATGGGTAACAAAAATCATTCGCTTTTGTAATTTTATTACTATTACCTCTCTTGTTCTTTGCGACGTGCCATTTCTAGTTCTTTATACTGACGTTTTTTGTCTTGTTCCTCTTTGCGTTTGATCTGCATTTGTATAAATTTTTCTTTCTTCCTATTCAGTTCTTCTTCCATTGACTTTAAGTAAATTAGAATCAGCTTAATTCACAAACTGTATCAACATCATAAAAATTTCACTATAAAAATCAATGAAATATTTAAAAATAAACTTTGTAAAAAAACTAAAAATTAAATGTACACTGCACATGTTGATTTAAGTTTATGACCACCTCATTCTTTATCAAGTGGAAATATCTACAAGTCATTGCCAACCTCTATAAAATTTAACATCCATCCATCAAAGGGTTTCCTGGAACATATCATGATGATGGGGATATAGCAAAAGACCTGCTGACCTTTATATGAAAATCACTAGGGGACATATGATTATCATGTGCAACCTGCATATTAATTTTGATGATTACCAACTACACATGTAGGATTCTCAGGAGATCAGAGTTTTTCAACATATGCAGTTGTTAAAGCAGGGAAATGTGACCTATGACTAAAACAAATGGTTCTCAAAATATTCCAAAATCTTTTGATGCAAGCATAGCTGAAAATTGATCTTTAACCTACTGTATGTGTACTTAAAAAAACGGGCTTCATATTTTAGCAGCTTTGGCGCAGACAACGATGCGCTAATTTATGAATACCACTAAGAAATCATTTATAAATACATTAAAAAAAATATATTATTCATGCATATACATGCATAGCGCTAATTCATGATTTCGCCAACAACTCCATACCCAGTGATTGCGCTAAATTTTTCAATTTATATACACGTACAGTATCTGCAGGGGTCATTTGCCTACAATGGTCAAGCTTGACCTTGTGTATGGTTTGATGAGTATCAAAACAACTGTTCAAAAATTCAAATGGACCGACCAACAGCCTGCAAAGTTTTATGCAATCTGACCTCTTCTTGAAGTGGGAGGAGGCATAATAAGGTATAGTATATCACTTAAAGTTTTTGTCAATGTGTCTTCACTTTCACAAGGAACAACTCACTATCTAATTAAATTTTGACACATTCTCCATATGTATGTAACAACTACTAATCCATTTTTCATTACTACTAACAACAGCATTGTTGTACAAAATTTATAAAGTTTATAAAGCTAAAAAAAAGCTAAATATAATCCAAATTTATTCTATTCTAACCTTTGTAAGATTTTCCTGGCCTTCTCCAACTACAAAGCCAATGCCAGAGGAATCATGCTGAGAGGTGTCCATCTGGGAGTTCACAGAAGTATTCCCAGGAGTGACAGACATGTCAAGGTTAGCGGACTGACTAGACTGGTTCATTGGAGGTGACTGTTGTGTTTGGTTTTGTTGACTAGCTGGTTCAGGAGTTACTGCCCTTTGAGTTTTAGCACTAGAAAGTTTCGGTTTTGTTTTTGGAGATTCACTGCCAAAGGATACAAAAAATCCATTCTGATCAGCAGAAGTGTCACTTTGTAGATCACTTTTGTTCTGAGATCCATCATACACACTTACATTTTGCATGTCAGGAGTTTCCACTTTATTACTAAGACCACTGTCATTGAAAGCACTAGAAGTAGCTGGCTTGTCAGCCTGGGATACAGATAGCACAGGTGGGATGGTATTATTATCTACATTAGGTTGAAAGACTTGAGCTCCTGTGTGATTTGGGGAATTCATATAAGAGACAGGAGGATGAGCTGGAGAAGAGGATGTGATGTGAGAATGGAGAGGGAATTGTTGAGAAGTCATGTTGTAAATCCCTTGCATCCCATAATGGCCATGAGGAGACACCAAATTGGGATTTACTGCGTATGGAGGAGATTGTTGGTAGACTTGGGGAGGGGTAAGAGGAAACTGGGGTTGAGGGAATGGCATGGTGCTATGTGTATGTAAACCACTATATGGCACATGTGTATGTCGCATAGGACTGAACTGACTTTGTCCAGTATATGGTGAAGATTGAGGCAGGACTTGAGGCTGAAATGGTTGTGTAACAGGCATCTGGGGAGGGAGTCCCTGGGGATACTGAGCTACACCTCCTCCCATCACAGCTCTTTCTGGGGTTGGTAGACTGGGATCTATAGGGCACGTATATCCAGCCGGACGACAGACTACAGGCGTCCCATATTGAAGTCTCTCTGGAGTGTTTATATCCACATCCTTTGAGGAAGCAAGATCTGGAGTTTGGAATGCTTTTCCCTGTAATTTCCTTTCAGGGGTATCCATTGCATATCTGGATTGGGCAGCTGAAGGTCTTGATGCTATAGAAGTAACAACCGGATTCCCATTAAACTGTTCCTGCTCAAGTGACATCCTCAATATTTCTCCTTTCAAGTCATTAAGATCATGATCCAATTTCTCCAACTTCTGGTTGTACACAGATGAATCATCTAATTCTGAAGTCTTTGTAGTTTTCTTATCTGGTTTACTGATGTTCTGCTCAACTGGAATTTGTTGTTTTGGAGGCAGAGTTTCTCTCCTTGCTGGTACAGCAAAAGCACCAATTTCTCCATTCTGAGGACTACTCTCTCTTCTGTTCACAGTCTCTTCCACTTTGACTTCAGATCGTGGAATTCTCTCATCCTTTTCATCTTGAAACCACTTCTTCCTCACATTTTCTATCGTTTGTTGAATTCCTTCCCTTGAAAATGCCCTGTTGCCTTGAGGTGTTCCTGAAGTTTTCCCATCAGTGAGAGATGTTCGACGATCTTTGTCGGATGTTGAACTTAGAGCCTCCTCACTCCCAGGTAGAGAAGCCTCACTTCCATGTGAACTGTGGCCATCTGACACTTCTTCCTCTTCAGTGGGTTTAGCAACAACATGAAGAAAAGCTGTTTTACCCAATTTCTGTCGCTGCTTTTGCTGTTGAATTTCCATCCTGTTTTTCTTCCTCTCAATTTGTTTCCTCTTTTCCTCCAACTTGAGTCTGATTTCTGTGAGTTCTGATAACACTGGGCGATTATCACTGTTTTCAGAAGAATCACTAGTAGTTTCATCTGGAGATTTTACAGTGCTGGTATGCTGCCATGTTGTCCTGCTGGGCGATGTTGTATTTTGGATGTTTCTATTATTAATTTGGGTGGTTGAGCCCTGCATCACTTTATTATTCACCTCATGCCCATGCTGCATATATACCATTCCAGAATTGTCCACATTGCCATGTACATTTTTCATTCTTTTTATTTCCGCAAAATTAGTTGTCATGTGCTTAGAAGTCTCTTTTTTGGGTGAAATTGTAGTTTTACTTCTCACAATCATTTTGGGCTTTTGAAACACCGTATTCTCTTTGGATCCAAATCGTGTAAGTGACTTTGGTGGTGATACTTCCCTAATTTTGTCTTTGTTCTCACTGCCCTTCTGGTCATAATGAATTTTATGAGACTCATGATCGGAGTTGTCCCCAGAGCTCCTGCTACTGGCAACACTTCCCTCTCTTGAGCCCCATCGCCTCCAAGATTGTTCCCCACTTTCACCTACCACAGGGATACCAGCAGCCCTGGCAGATTCTGAGGTGGCCTCATTAGAGACTGTGTAGCTCCCTTTGACTGAATCAGCTGTACCACCCTGACTCCGTGCCGTAGATAACACACTTCTCCGGGGAGATTCCATGTCTTGTGATAGTTCTGCATTAACTGTAAATGCAGCATATCGTGGCTGTTTTGGAACATCCTGGTCTGAGAGTTGATCTTCTGGAAGAGGAGTCACAGGTACAGAGCTACTACTGTCACTTAAAACACTTGAAGACCCCACATCCATTTCTCTTGACTTCACAGATTTGGAAAATAAAGACTGTTCCCCTCTCTCCTGTTCTTTGCTGTGGTTATTTATTGCTTCCTTACAAGGCTTTAGTTTTGCAGGTAAAAGTGGTTCATATTGTTGATCTTTACTTTGTCTGTTGACTTTAGGATCAACTTGAGCACTAAATTCATTCAACAAATCTTGATGATTTGGGGGTTTTTGAGGTAAGCTAGCTTCACTGTCTGGCCTAACTTCCTCCTCTTGATGTATTGTTCTATTTGTCACAGTTCCTGAGGTAACACTTTGCACTTCCATATAATCTGGATGACTGGGATCATGCAAATTAGATGCCAAGTTTCTGGCCTCCTCATTGGATGGAAGTGTAGGAGGGGGTGTGTCACTTAAATCCATGTCAAGACTCCCCAGCTGATCATCAGTAAAGCTTTCCATTAACTCCGAGTCAATACTAACATTAGCCAGTAAGTTACTTCCACCACTTTGTTGCATTACATCTGACCTGCTCAAAGAAAACAAAGCATGTAACTGAAGAGCCCATTATTTGATATTCAGGTAATACATCATCATTTCTGTTCAGAAATAGTCATTACAATGTTTTTAAAGAACTTCGAATTCTCGTGACAATGTACATGTACACGTACCTAAAAAAAGTTATATGTGGGACCAGAGACCCATACATTACATGCTAATATGGGTCTCTGGTTAGGGCATTCCATAAATAATCAATGAACCTTTAACATGAAAAGATGCATACACATACATATAAGTAATTGTAATTATTATACCTCTACTCTTATTACTCTATATAAAATTAATACCATAAAACTGTCTATTTCCCTGAGAAGATACTATTTCCCTCATCTGAGGACTACTTCCTGAAAAATCGAAGCTACTCCCTGGGACTACTCCCTCATGAATATTTATTAATAATTTTAACCAATTAAAATGAACAGTGGGCGGAGCGTTCAAGGAAACTCGAGTCTGTGACGTAATGTTATTAGCAATGTAACTATGACGTCAAAACATTTCGACATGCGATGTCAAAATCATACTGGAATTCTAGCATAATGAAGACAACAATAATCATTCGAAGTGTCAGTGAAATTATTTTATATTTTTTAATAATTTTATTTTCCTTGGTATTGATGCATTAGTTATCTTACAAGATTTTTAAGCACATCCATTTGTGATTATTTAAATGCCTCTATATTGTTTTTAAAAAATGTCTGAGTCTCTAGTTTAATAAAGCTCCCATGATTGTTTCGGTATAATAAAACAATTATGGAATGGGTACTCGGGAAATATCAAATTTATGGTTCCCCTCGGCAGGAAACTATTTCCCTCGGCAGCTTTGCGGCCTCAGGAAATAGTTTCCTCCCTTGGGGAACCATAAATTTGCTATTTCCCTCATACCCATTCCATAACTGTATACTATTGGGTGACATTAACAATATAACACTTACGATGTAGCCTCTGTATAAGTCTTAATCAGCAGACTTTTATGAGCACTGTAAAGTAACATTTTTTATTTCATATTCCTTATTTGAGTTAATTATTGAACATCTAAATGGTATTTGATAGACATCAGTAAAATAAAAATATCTCACTGTTGACTGTCCTCTTGCCAAGCTAGCACTGACTGGTGTACAACATTCCTGTCACTGACTGTCACTGCTGACTTGGGTCTTGGTAGCCCAGTCCCATGACCTACATTCAACATATATACATGTATTTATAAGCTTTTCATATATCAAAAAACAATTTTTTTTAATTGCTTATTACAACCATGGTTGGGACTTTCCAAATGCTTGTAAGCATTTTACATTTAATCCTTCATGTGTTAGGTATATTTTTCATTTTTAAATGATAAATTTAAAACAAATTTTTGAACTTTAGAGTCAATACAAATTTTACCTATTTTTACAGACATCATATTACATGCTTATACACACCTTTGTGACTGACACCAGGTTCATGGCCAGATTCCTGCTGACGTTTGTGTAAAAGAGGTTGTCTTGGAGCCACCTGGGTCACGTTACGGGGAAAGCCAGCGTCATCCATGGACGTCTTATGAAAGCTCTGTTTGGTGACATTACTGATTGGGGGAAGGTTTGGAATGGCATTACTGGTCAGTTTCTTGGCTGTGGTGGGACGAGAACCTAAAGGAAAAATAATTTTATGTATGGAGAAAGTTCTGTATTCACATATTGTCATGAAAATTAATATAAGATTTTATGTACTATAAGTAAATCACAATTTCTTTGTGAAAACTTTATTTTCATGTAATAATGTAAGGTTGACTGCTCACAGATATTCTGTCCTCAAATATATCTATATTACGAAAGATTATGTACAAAAATTAATATAATTTTTTTTTTTAATTTCTCAATTATAAATATTTTACCAAATAAAAAAGGTGTGAAAATTTGGTGATCCAAAGTACATCTTTTTTTTTATACATCACTTCAAATTCTTCTAAAACATGGACAACCCTTACAAATAAGTTGGCCAGGAAGTCAAAGGGTACAATGCAATGGTTTGTATTTACCTGATTCATCTTGGACACAGTCCAGTTTCTGAAGTTCAAACCAATAAAACAGCTCAGCCAGGAATACTTCCACATTCCCTCGGAGATTATTGTGCATGTATAGAAAGTCTTCGTAAGTGAGATGAAAAACCTTTCCTGGGATGTAGTTATCACAGAATTCTTTCACCAGCCTCAAGTTATACAGAGAGTCAGCAATGCCAACATTCGACTTCAAACATATATCTGAAAAACAGAAATATAAAATCTATACATGTATTTGGAAGAAAAGATGTAAAAAGTGCTTACAAGTTCTTCCATATGAATTGAAGTACTGAAATATCAATTCTTCATTATACTTCCATTAATTAATTAATGTTTTGTTTCTTTATCGATTTTTTAAATACAGAAAACCAAGAAAGAGAGAAATGGAGAGAGTTGTGATAGGCAGGTCTGGTGATAAGCTACATATACTGTAGTTCAGATCTCCTCTGTTAAGATAGTAGTAAAGTAACATGAGTTATAATTAATGCATTCAGTTTACTAGAAGCTGTTGATTTCTTTAATTTACTGTTTCTTTCCAATGACTTTTAATCTATGATTTTTTTCCTTCAGATATTCACTTGATAAATATGCATGCTGTTAATATTTGATATACAAGATAAAGAATGACAATTCAATGAATAAAGTAGTTATTCATAATGAAGTTCAAGATAACAATATCATTCTGTTTTAAATTTGAAATATACTTTAATATACAGGTGTACATGTGCATATTTTCAATGAAATCAAAACATACCCATGTTTTATTCATGTGTAGTTGAATTCTAAAAACGTTTTGAAAAGCAAGGTATTTACAAAGAAAATCTTTATTTTTCTGACGAAAAGTGCCAATTACATGTATACGGCATATGACCTTGACAAATTTTACTAGACCACCGGAAAAGATGAAATGAAGAAAAAAAAATGACACCCACCTTGTTGACTTAGTGCAGAAGGACAGTAGAAACTGATCAGAACAGCCAGAGAACAGCCATCACCGATGTCCTGAGACAGATCTTCTATAAGTGGAATATTCACCGATTCCCTCATGCTCATCCCAGATTTACTAACTATTCTCACCTGAAAATTGAAATATTTAAAATTTGAAATATTAATTTCAATTTTAAAACCATTTCAAAATGCACAATTTCAACAGAACACCTTAATATTCTTGATTTGATGAACATAATAAATATGGCACTCAGCAGGACATACATATTTTATAACAAAATAATGTATGAACCTTTTGACTTGTCTCCCCTTCTAACACCTGGTTATCTTCCTTGTTAATACTGAGTTGTACAGCCACGCACACTTTATTGATCCAGAACAATAGCGCATCTTCCACGCTGGATGGTAGCTCACTAGAGGCATTAAACGTGGCAAACTTCCTCACTGCCTGGACAGCCTTCTCAATGGTCACAGTCTGTCTGATGTATGCCAGCATCAAGGTATCAATCAAGGCAATGTGAGCACCCTAAATAGAAGGATGGGAAAATATTATAAACAGTCCAAATTGTCTTTTAAACAATATACATGTACAAGTATATCATAAGACAGAATTTTTAAAAAATTAAAAATTTTACAGAAAAAATCATTGTAAACATGTACTGACTACCCGGTATACAGAAATTTGTCTCTCACAGAAAGGAAAACTGATACAATATGACAGGTAAAAGATTCCCAAAAATGATATTCTTCTCTTCAAACTTTTTCAATGCATTTTCACAGACATACCACATCAAAGGGAGCAGACTTAATCAGCACAGACTCTGTAACAGCATTATCACTAGCATCCACAACATAGATTCCTTTTCTGGACATCACCTGTATTATGGTTGAATGACCTGCAGAACATTTTTTGAAATTTACGTATTGTTATACAATATATATCAACCCTCTGAAATCTATGTGGATTGTTAATTATATGTAATTTTCTTTCTCACCTGACGTCCCTCGCCATTGCAAAGAAGAATCTCCAAACATATTATTGCAGGCTTGACAATAGATTTCGCTGGAAACCATCAGGTTCAACAACTGAGGTTTAACATGTAATGCACCCTTTAAATTCAAAAGCATATTCACTTTTCAAAATTGTTAATGTCAATGTGATAAATATTTGTTTCTTAACATTCACTGTATTGTATTAAAATTAACTTCTAAAAAATGCTCTTTACCAGTATGCATACTTTCAAGAGAATTATCATATTGTGTGTGTGTGTGTGTTGTTGTTGTTGTTAATGTTTTGTTTTTGATTGTTATGGGTTTCGTTTTCTTTTGCTTTTACTTTTTTTTTTTTTTTTTTTACTTTTTTTCTTTTCTTTTTTTTTTTTTTTGGGGTGGGGGGGGGGGGGTGGGGGGGGGTTCAAATATATCACATTACCTACATTTAATCTTATCATGTTTATTAACACAATTGATAAAGTCATGAAAATTCTTACATCTTGAGTTTCATAGAAGGGGTCCTTCAGATCCTTTGGTATTTGATCTCTAAATGCTTTGTCAAGAATCCATGATACAGAACACTGAAGCTTTGCCTGTAAGTAGAATATTTGGCCACAATCATTATTCAATGAATGTGATTACAGTAGGGCTCAACATTAACATTTGTCAGATTGCACACTTTCAGTTCATTTTGTTCAGACAAGTCAATCTCTACAAATACTTGTTGAATTGGACAAGATACTTTTTAAACATTAGGGAATGGTGTGAATTTGAAGAAAAAAAATTCCCACAGAATTCACAAATTGTTCTGATTTTTTTTCCCCTTTTTTTCTTTTTGGATAATTGCAAACTTCAAATACCAGTATAAGAGAGATTATGTTCTATCGTTAAAATGATATTGTCTTCATTAGAACATTTCATTCAAATACCTAATTTCATTATTTTACAACTGAATGCATGTAAATGGAAACATGTAAAAGACCAAAAATTGTCTCTAAGGTAATGTACCACATTCAAGTCACGAATCTAATAGTTTGGGTTTACAACTTTCCTTTGAATAAAAACAATGCTTCTTCTGACAATGGCAAACAAGAGGCCCATGGGCCACATCGCTCACCTGAGCACATTGGCTAGGAAAAAAGCAAAAATCAGTACAGTATTGAAAAGTTTACAGGGAGGGGGTGTTGAATATTAAACTACCTGATGATGCTTTCATATCAATATAACAAATGGCTTTGTTGTTCTTGAGCAGCAGATTTTTCTCCCATATATTCATTTGTAAAAATTTGATCCCCCATTGTGGCCCCACCCTACCCCCCGGGGCTCTCATTTGAACAGATTTCATTCTACACTACCCAAAGATGCCTCCATATCAATTTGACTAATCATGGCTTTTCTGTTCTTGAGAAAAAGACTTTTTCCTATATATTCCTCTGTAAACTTTGATCACCCACTGTGGCCCCAACCTACCCCCGGGGGTCATGATTTGAACAAATTTGAATCTTCACTACCTGAGGATGCTTCCATATAAATATGACCAATCATGGCTTTGCTGTTCTTAAGAAGAAGATTTTTAAAGATATTTTCCTATATATTTCTATGTAAAACTTTGATCCCCCAAAGTGGCTCCACCCTACCCCCAGGGGTCATGATTTGAACAAACTTGAATCTACACTACCTGAGGATGCTTCCATATAAATATGACCAATCATGCCTTTGCTGTTCTTAAGAAGAAGATTTTTAAAGATATTTTCCTATATATATGTAAAATTCTGATCCCAAATTGTGGCCCCACCCTACCCCCCGGGGTCATGATTTGAACAACTTGAATCTACACTACCTGAGGATGCTTTCATAAAAATATGACCAATCATGGCTTTGCTGTTCTTAAGAAGAAGATTTTTAAAGATATTTTCCTATATATTTCTATGTAAAACTTGGATCCCCCATTATGGCCCCACCCTACCCCCAGGGGTCATGATTTGAACAAACTTGAATCTACACTACCTGAGGATGCTTCCATATAAATATGACCAATCTTGGCTTTACTGTTCTTAAGAAGAAGATTTTAAAGATATTTTCCTATATATTTCTATGTAAAACTTGGATCCCCCCTTGTGGCCCTACCCTACCCCCGGAGGTCATGATTTGAACAAACTTGAATCTACACTACCTGAGGATGCTTACATAAAAATATGACCAATCATGGCTTTGCTGTTCTTAAGAAGAAGATTTTTAAAGATATTTTCCTATATATTTCTATGTAAAACTTGTATCCCCCATTATGGCCCCACCCTACCCCCAGGGGTCATGATTTGAACAAACTTGAATCTACACTACCTGAGGATGCTTCCATATAAATATGACCAATCTTGGCTTTACTGTTCTTAAGAAGAAGAATTTTAAAGATATTTTCCTATATATATGTAAAATTCTGATCCCAAATTGTGGCCCCACCCTACTCCCGGGGGCTCTCATTTGAACAAACTTGAATCTACACTATCTGAGGATGCTTCCATAAAAATATTACCAATCATGGCTTTGCTGTTCTTAAGAAGAAGAATTTTAAAGATATTTTCCTATATATTTCTATGTAAAACTTGGATCCCCCATTGTGGCCCCACCCTACCCCCGGGGGTCATGATTTGAACAAACTTGAATCTACACTACCTGAGGATGCTTCCATATAAATAGAACCAATCTTGGCTTTACAGTTCTTAAGAAGAAGAATTTTAAAGATATTTTCCTATATATTTCTATGTAAAACTTGGATCCCCCATTGTGGTCCCACCCTACCCCCGGGGGTCATGATTTGAACAACTTGAATCTACACTACCTGAGGACGCTTCCATAAAAATATGACCAATCATGGCTTTGCTGTTCTTAAGAAGAAGATTTTTAAAGATATTTTCCTATATATTTCTATGTAAAACTTGGATCCCCCATTGTGGCCCCACCCTACCCCCGGGGGTCATGATTTGAACAAACTTGAATCTACGCTACCTGAGGATGCTTCCACATAAGTTTCATCTTTCCTGGCCCAGTGGTTCTTGAGAAGAAGATTTTTAAATGATGCCATTATTTTTTTCACTAATTCCTAACTATCTCCCCTTGAAAGAGGGCGTGGCCCTTCATTTGAACAAACTTGAATCCCCTTTACCCAAGGATGCTTTGTGGCAAGTTTGGTTGAATTTGGCCCCGTGGTTCTTGAGAAGAAGATGAAAATGTGAAAAGTTTACAACAACAACGATGACAGACAATGGACAAATTTTGATCAGAAAAGCTCACTTGAGCCTTTGGCTCAGGTGAGCTAAAAATTGAAAACTGGTAAAAAGGTAAGATTATATCAGGAAAGTTGGAAATCCAGAAGTAAGTACCGGTAATATGATCAAAGCACATCAATGAAAAGTATTGTAAAGTTTATTGAAGTTATTAAAATGCACCAACTATTCATAATTTTTATAGATACATAGAAATTTAAAAACAAAACAAAAAACAAAAGATTGCACATTGGAAAAGTAAATAATAAAGAAAAAAAAATATTTTATCTCAAGTGTCCTTATTTGGACAAGTAATAAAAGTGCATTCAGACAAGTAACTTTTGTTGAATAATTGGATATTTTAGTCAATGTTGAGCCCCGTACAAAGATATAAAAATATTTTCAAGAAGAGAAAGGGATATTTAAAGCAAATACAACTTCAGGTGTATGTCTAATGCTGAGAAGTCTGATGGTTATGCCAAAGTCTGATGGACTTACCAAAGTCCAGTGGTTTTTAACGTTTTTGATGTCTCAATACTCCGACATCAATCCTAACAGTTGTTGTTCGGATTTCAAAATCCAACAAATTAGGGTCAGTCCTCTGACTAATTTGGGTTAGTCTCACATACCACTCCGCATAATTTTTATAGATACATAGAAATTTAAAAACAAAACAAAAAACAAAAGATTGCACATTGGAAAAGTAAATAATAAAGAAAAAAAAATATTTTATCTCAAGTGTCCTTATTTGGACAAGTAATAAAAGTGCATTCAGACAAGTAACTTTTGTTGAATAATTGGATATTTTAGTCAATGTTGAGCCCCGTACACAGATATAAAAATATTTTCAAGAAGAGAAAGGGATATTTAAAGCAAATACAACTTCAGGTGTATGTCTAATGCTGAGAAGTCTGATGGTTATGCCAAAGTCTGATGGACTTACCAAAGTCCAGTGGTTTTTAACGTTTTTGATGTCTCAATACTCCGACATCAATCCTAACAGTTGTTGTTCGGATTTCAAAATCCAACAAATTAGGGTCAGTCCTCTGACTAATTTGGGTTAGTCTCACATACCACTCAGCTGATTTATGGGATTGGTCCTTGCACAGCTATCTGACTGATTATGGTTATAGTTGTGCACCAATCCTTTTAATTATTTATTGTTTTGACATATATGTATCTTGTACTGGTTTCCATGATGTAAATTTTCAGTCAATTCTGTCACTGTCGAAACCAACGAATGCAAATAAGATTTAGCTGATCCCACCCACAGTGTGACATAAGCCATCCAATATCTCATTGATAGGTCCAATATCTCACTCTGCGGTCAACGTCGATTTTTTAGGACTGCTCGGTAAAACACTGGAAATGTTACTTTTTTAAATATAGATTTATAGCGAGTGCAGCGAGTGGCGCTAAGCGCCGCTCGACACTGCGAGCTCTAACGACAACGCCTGGGCAAAGAGGAAATTCGGACTACTGCACATTCATTCAATAGAATTTTTTCCACGGTAATTCTGGACCCACAATGCATCACTTGTTGTTCTCGCTACTAACTTCTTAAATTTAAGTAATCAATGCGCTTGGCCCAACAGTTGCACCGTCAACATATTATAGCAACCAATTTTTAAAGGTATAACAATATACATTGTGCACATACATTGGACATTGGCAAGGCAGCAACTTCTTACTTTGCTGAATTAATCTAAGTGTATAGACCATAAGGATTTGTTGTGTTACTCCATCAGACTCTGGCGACTGCATGTGAACCCCCCCAAAAAAACATCGGACTATGGCATGACTATCAGACTTTGGACTCCAATCATACTTTGGAGTCCTACATATTTATGCATATGTCTTATGAAGTTTTAAGTAAAAAATATATAAGTGATTTGCAATGACTTTGACATTAAACATTTTACATTCTTGATATCATTTGTATGAAGGCACCCAAATTTATTGACAGTACCTTGTTGCTATCATACTCCTCCATCGGTATAATTTCGATGATGTCATTATCAACACCAGTGGTACTTTCCACCGACTGATTCATGCCTGTTGATTAGAATCTGAACCTGTCTGTGCAGTGTTTACGAAATATCTACTCTGTAAATCATCATTTTTTAAATCAAGGGTTATATTTCACTTTCACATAAGAGTGAAAAAAACTTTAAGACTATCAAATAGTAACATATTAGGTTTCTACATTATTGCTTAAACATGTAAACACATTTTCTCTATCTCATAATCTCTCTCCTCTGAGAAATTTCTCATCTGAAATCCACGCATGCTTGAAATCGTTTCCGGTCTGTACATTGCTTAGTCAGGGAAATGTTTAATGTCATGAGAAATTCAAAGCGCTTTACTGACCATGTTGTAAATAAACTTATTTAACACGCACACGCGTTTCATAACTTCTTCACGTGCATCAAGCCAGGATATATGTAACACGGCGTTTGCAAGTTTAATTACTCGCGTGGACGGAATGTACATAAGAACAGAGATGGAGAAAATCATCACAGCGGTTACATTAACATTCTCAATTACCTTTCTTTCTTTATACATGGACAGCATCAATGCAGCACAAGTGCAAAATGAAGGAATGTTCAAAAGAACAAAATGGTTGAAAGGTTTGGATACCTCTCAGCTAAACTATGGAGTAGCAGTCTCAGATGTAGATAACGATGGATCTCTGGAATGGATCGTTGCGGGTTTTAGTGGACCTAATTTTGTGCTGAAATACAACGCTACAACCAAACGTCTAGTCAATCTTGCAAAACAAGATCAGAGATTTAGTGCAATAGGTGATGTTGGTGGTCAAGCAATTGGTGTCTGTGCGTGTGACATTGATGGAGATGGACGAGAGGAAATTTATTTTCTGAATACAAATAATGCATATGCTGGTCGTGCCGATTACGGAGATTCGTTGTTCAAATGGAGAAATGGTAGGTACGTCAATTTATATTCTGATCCAGTCAACTCAAGAATGGATGCAAAGAGTTTTGCTGGTCGATCAGTCGCTTGCATTGACAGACTTGGGACTGGAAAATACTCCATCATTATTGCAACTTACTCTCAGGGAGGTACCGGTAACTTTGCTTTAGTGGAGATGGATGAAAATCATCCGAGCAACAACGTTAGGTCCGGAAATATTGTTCTAAAAAATGTAGCAAGTATTGCAAACATCAATAAAGCCACTGGTGGAAGAGGTCTTGTCGTAGGGCCTATTTTAGGAAACAATGGAAAATCTGACATATTCTTTGGAAATGAAGGTAACCCATGGATGGGTAATCCCGGAGACAATTTTTTATTCAAAAATCTTGGGAATGGATCATTTGAAGATGTTGCTGAACAGGCAGAAATTCAGGATAAATATAATAATGCAAGGGGGATAAGTTTAGGCGACTTTAATAGAGATGGATTACTGGACATAGCATACGGCAATTGGGCAGGTCCACATAGACTTTTTATGCAATATAAATCAGCCAAAGGGATGAGGAAATTTAAGAATGTTGCTACAGGAGATTATGCTGTTCCAACAAAAATTCGCACAGTTATTGCCGCCGATTTTGACAATAACGGGGACACTGACATATTCATGAACAACATCTGCAGCCACCGAAATCCAAATGACAGGGAGCCAAATAAATTATTCACTGTTGTGCCTAATCCGTCTAATAACAGTAATGATCCTGTCATCCGAAAAATTGATATCGGACAGGCCAAAGAGCCTAGGGGGTTCGGGACGGGGGCAGCGGTAACGGACATGGATGGAGATGGATTGCTAGACCTTCTTGTGTCACATGGGGAAAGCAAAACACAGCCATTACAAGTCTATAAGGTAAATCGTCAACTTGCCAGAAATGCGACCGGGAGAAAAAATAACTGGGTTAGGGTGTTCCCCCGCACCAAATACGGAGCACCGGCCCGAGGGGCCCACGTAAAATTAACTACCCGGTCTGGTAGGGTTTACAGCAGTGTCATTGATGGAGGATCTGGGTATCTCTGCCAAATGGAGCCCATCGCGCACTTTGGGATCGGGGAGGACAAACCCCAAAGACTTGAAGTTCAGTACCCAGATGGGGTTATCGTAACGGTCTCTTTGAGGAAGTCAGACAAAAATAAAATTCATTTTGTGGACCATCCTAATAAAGTGCATCAATAGTCCAGACACAGTGTGTAAAAAAAATATATGAAATATAAAACATGACTGAATCTCAAATTTTTTTAAATATTATAATTATTATGATTAATATTTATATTTTACTTTTACAACTTTAACTGTTTTGCAATAAAATTGCCAGTTCTGTAACAAAAATTTTGAAATGCATGAATATATGTATGATGTTGATTTTTTTTTCTTTTGTAATTGTTAATTGTGTATGAATGTAATTGAGATGGTTATTTTCAAGATACTATAGTTCGTGTGCATATAATACGAAATCGTAATCAACATTCCACTTACGTTTTCATGATTAACTGTCCTAACATATACTGGTATAAAATATTATATACGGGTATTAAATTGTTTCATAGACAATCTTTAAAATGGTGAAAGAGTATGAATAAAAACGTTAATAAAATTAAATTTTCTTTGTTATGTGTGTGTGTGTGTGTGGGGGGGGGGGGGGGGGGGGGGGTTTACAATTCATATATTACAAATCACACAAGCGTACATACTATATATACATTTTCATAATGTACCGAACTACGCTTTTTAACCTATGTAGCTGGTTATATGATATGTATTAAGTAAAAAGTTCAATATCTACATTTACAATGCTAAGAATTTGGTGTGCGTGGTCCAGTTTCTCGCTCTGGACATGGCACGATACGTGTATGTATGACTATGCATGTATACTAGTATACGTACAAATATATAATTATACAGTGTAATTATAACGTATTTAGCTTGGTTACTTGTACCGAGAATCAAGTATAAGTTTGGAAGGCGTAGCATCTTTCAAAGTAAGGGGGTGGGGAGGGGGGGGGGGAATAATTGATGATGGCACACAAGAAATATAAAAGATGCCTGGAAAAAAAAACTGACAAGCAAAAAAGGGGTGTCTAAAGTCGAATAACGAATTTTGTAGTGGGTGGGATGGGGTTAGGTTCCTACTTTCTCTTCGACAAAAAACAAATTGGGATATGTTTCTCATTTTGGAGTGACATTTGTTCCATATATTTTATAAGTTAAGTTCTATGACGATAAAATTTACCAAGATAATCTTTTTTTGTACTTGTATTAATTTTTCACACAATTTATATGGTGTTCAGGATTATAGATATCAATTATCAAGCTAAGCATGTTTCTTTTGGCCATCTGCTGTCACTGTGTAAAGTTTAACACTGAAAGTCATGTAGTACGCTAGATTTTGTCCACAAAAGTATTAAGAATTCATGGTATTTTTCACCTTAACCTTTTGAACCTCAAATAAATAGACATATTGCTTTGGTTATCTTCCATCTCTGTAATCAGTTTGAGACTAAATGAACAGATACATGTACAGTACTTATAAAAAAAAATCGTGTTCACTACATTGATAAGAAGATCCACTATTCTTGACCTTAATCTTTTGACCCTGAAATGAATTTGCTAAACATGAATGCAAATTTGGACGAAAAGGTTAACTGGCATTGCTGATATCATGTCCACAACTCTGTTCAGGGACACACAAGGCCGTCGAAACGGGGGCTGCGTTGGGTGCGATGGCAACCCTTTATAAAATGAACTTTTGAAAATAGTATTTTTAAACAAAATAAATTGATAATTCAGTCATTTGTTTAAAGTAATGCTGCTGGATTTACTTTATTGTATATGTGAAAAAAAACTTCAAGAATGCATCAGAATCCACCAAAATGGTAACCATACCATTTATAACAAAAATAAATTCTGGACAGAGGAGGGAATACCCCCCCCCCCCCGACCCTGCCTGCATGCACCTCCATGTCCAGAAACCTGACGACGGCCCTATTTTTGCGGGCTAGGTAAAATTACTTTTCCCCAAACATTAAAAGTGATGACGCAGTATTTCAAAGCGACAGCTTGCAGAAACGCGGATATTGATGTACGGCGTATATGAGGGGAATAAATAAGGCGTTTTTAGAGAAATTCATGACAAATTTATTAGTATTTTGCAAGTACGAAGTTTTTGTTTGTTTAATTAATTGTCATTATCTTCTGTATTTGTGTGGCAAGTTTGCTAGTACGATTTTTTTACCGAGATGATTTGGGGATTGGGGGGGGGGGGGGGGGGTTCCACAACGACAAGCCAAGGGCGTCTGGAGAGTTACCAACTTTAAGGTTATATATTTAGTTACACATATTAATAAAATATTAGTGAATTACAAAAGATCTTGAGAATTCCTTTTGTTTAATTAATTGACAAATATTGGGGTTAGAAGGGAATGGAATAGGATTGAAAGTTTCGAAGAGTTCTAAAATCTAAAGTCTTCATTTCTTACACTACTGGACTCACAATATTACATACATATGTATTCCAAATTGCTCTAGATAGTTAAATAATCATGGAAATGGAATTATAAAGCTTGATTTTTCTGAATTTCTTCTACTTAGTAAGTAATAATCTATAACATGCTTAATTATAGGTGCAGGAGAAAGCCTATTTTTATAAAATACAAATGATTTATCATTTCGTGAATAGTTACGATCGCCTTTTTAATTTAAAAACGGCAATTTCTTGCGGATTTTTTTTTTCTTTTCAAATGTTGGAATTTGACTGAGTTCGACCTACATCTACCAACAACAAAAAGTGTGTATGAAAGGAGGGGAGCAAACAGTGTCTAAATGAATGATTTTTTTTTGCATATCAAACTTAAGCAAAAAGACTTCTCAGAAAAAAGTGGAGAAAGTGGGAAAAAATTGGAGGCGCCCCACCCCCTTACCCTTCCTGACACCTCCCCCCGCATATACATTGTAACAGGCCTGTTTATTGTCCAATCAATTGGTCGATCGATGTTTGGAAATCTTTGATGAATCGAAGTTGTAAGCTATTAAATTAAAGCAAAATACTAAAATACTGGGTAAAAATTACTATTTAAAATAACTTCAGTTGATTTTTTTTATAATGTCATAATGCATATTTCTGCATTTCAAAAATGGAGGGATTATGAAGGATTAATCACCCTGTTAATTTTAAATTTCATAATTATGCATTCTTTCGGCAAGTAATAATAAATATTATATAATAATAGAAAAATTATATGTATTTTAATCTTTACCTCGATCGTCATTTTTTTTTTTTTGTTTAATTGTTCTTTTTTAATAAGAAAATACCTGTAGGCTATTGTCTTCATGGAAAAAATATAAAGATTTGGGCGGAAATTTTAATTATGTAGTTTAAATCACAAAAAGTTAGTTAGACCCCCCCCTTTCGATCCAGTTTGCCTCCCCAATGTCAAATTCTTGCCGACGCCCCTGAAATAAATATGACCGATGCTTGAGGGAAAAAAAACAACAAAATAGAACCGGGCTTGCAAGTTTTAATATCAAAATTTGAAGAAATGGAATTTCTAGTTTATTTAGGATCTTATGAATATAATGAGAAGCAAATCACGTGTAAGCAGTGTCATGAATTCTAGTAAATTGCGCATCATTTCTCCATACGTGAAGGATTCATACTTTATATCTATCGACAGATTAACTTTTATGATTTAAAGATAAGTTGACAGTGTCTTATAGGAATGTGGGAATTATTGAATGTAGTACTTTTTATCAATGCCTATACTATAAACAGTATAAACAAAGGTTGAACATCCCCTCAAAAGGCGTGCACATTGATCACCAGTAAAATTCATCTATATATCAAAAAACAGTCAGCTTAAAACCCAACCTATCAAAACAATGATTTTCTTTCTTCGTTCAGAAGAAAAAGATTTATAACGAAAGTTTTTTTTCCCTAACACTGTATAAACCTGGCAATGATAATCTGATAGGTAAAGATGGACAGAGAGTATAGATGGGGATAGAGGGAGAAATATTAGAGAGAGAAGAGGACATCCCCAAAAATCAAGAATCCGCCCATGTACTGAAGCCTGAAAGACCGGTCAATAATGACTTGTGCGAATAGTTTTAGACCGACTTAGCTAATTCCATTCATCCGGAAGTTCAAGTTAAACCGCTAGTTTTGAACACATTCATTGTAATAAGATTGTTTATATTGATGGAAAAAATAATCTGTACAGCAATTTATAACAGGTCTCAGTTTCAGAAGATGATATTTAGCCTTTGTACTTTAGAAAAAGAAGATGCATAGATATTATTTGAAATGGTAAGCGCTTCATTTCTGATATTTGACTTCGATTTCTTCATTTGTTATGGGTGATCGTATCATGAGGTTTATGCAATAAATCTACGTAAATCTACTATCTACGAATTTGGTTCCCCATTTTTGAAATAGAGCAGTATCTTCTCTACTTGATTTACTATGAGATTCTTGCCTAATAAAGAAAAGAGATCCACATAATGAGGCCTAGTATGGTTGAACGGTTGTATGTTCGTTCGCCCTAAAACTTGTTCGCCCTTGACGCCGATCGCCCTAATTCTCGTTCGCCCAGAGTCCGATCGCTCTAAAACTTGTTCGCACAGGGTCTGTTCGCCCTCTTTATATTGCAGAAAGTTGATTAATGAACCAATGGATTTTTTTCAATAAATTATTATTACATTGGTCGTACCTCTCTGCCACATGATAGGCACGGGGAATTATCAATCTTCAAAGGTAAAATCTAGCTCATCCGCTGCTCAGCTCCATAATGGGCCTATTAATGACTCAGTACTTTAATATTGTTTTCAAAACATGGAGCTACAAGTTGAAAAAAAAAAACATACCCGATACCGCCAAGTATTCAACTTGTACTTCAAAGTAGTTTAGGAAGGTCCAGCACAATCTCAATAAGATTAAGACGGTGTGTCGATTTACCCAAAAGGACCCAAAAGGAATCGAAATGAAGGGGACAAACGGCTTTTAAATGACCATTTTCATACTAAATTGAAATCAAAACATTAGATTTGGCAAAAAGTGGGGGTGAGATTGTGGCCGGGAGTCCCCTCCCCCTATACTATTTGCTTGGAGTAAGTCATAAAATAAAACTTATTTTATTAGATTTCATATGGTAAGATATGTTAAAATATATGAGAAAACATAATGATATGTTTATCTTTTCAGCTTAAATAAAACAAAGCATATCTAACAAGATTTAGTGTTTGACCTGTAAATACTTTTTTTCTGATTCGAAAAGAAAAGTTACAACAGCATAAAACTGTGTTTTTGCCAACTTTATATATAAACTGTGTAATATATAAAATTCATTATTTAATACATATTAATCCTTTTTATTATATCATAATATATTCATTTTGAGTCCTTTTGAGTTCCTTTTGGGTAAATTGATGCACCCTCAGTATGACGCAATTTGATGAGCGAGAGGAGCTCAAGGTTGAATACCATCACTGCACCAAGATGCGGCTTATTGTACAGACTGAAAAATAACACATTTAAGAAAAAATGTAATAAAATATCTTAATTAAGATATTCTGAATATCTTAATAAAACTATATAGTTAATTCAAGCTAAATAACTAAATCAAGAGGTTATGCAAGACCTGTTAAAAGGTCAAGAACTTTTGCACAATAAGCACAAGAATCAGACATTGACAAAGAGTGTGAAAGACTGGTAAATGTCATGCTAGACAACTGAACAAATACTTTTTCAAAGTAAAAATAATTTTGACAGCATTTAGCCATAAACTTATTCACATGATGCAATGAACAACAGGGGTTAAAATATATGGTAACCCGATGCCCGGGGCTAGTCATTTTAAGACTTGGGCTGGCTAATTCAAATGTAACGATAGTCCGTCGGACTAGCAGAACAGAAAAAAATTCTTGATCATCAGTTTACCGTAGCTTTTTTTTGTAGATTGGTTTCTTTTGACTGAGAACTAATTTAGTTTGTTCCTGTCACCAAAGCATTTGACACTTTAATTTGTTATGTTTTCATTTTGTATGAAAATTGTTGTGCTAGTTAGTTCGAGGTTCGGGCTTGTAAATTTTTACTGATCAGTAGCCCCTGGGCTAGAGGGTTTTCCAGGGAAATTTCAACCCCTGAACAATACAGATATTGTAGTAAAAAATTGTCATTCTTATTTTTTTTTTTTATTTTAACAGAGAAGAAGTCAGGCACCTAGCCAGAGGCTTACAGTACCTGTTTCATTCCCCCGACAAGTACAAGAGCAAATTAAACCTGTGGTGGGTATTACAGTTAATGTGTTCTCAGAAACACTCTTCTCCCTTTGATAACTAGTAGCACATTATTTTTTGCACTTTTTTTAAATGATTGGGCTGATAGATTTTGGAAATTCTGGGAAATTCATGATACCTTTGTATGTATCAGGATTGCGTAAAATTTTGGTTGCCTAAATATTACAGGTGAAGAGAGCTCGCTATGAAGATGACAGTGAAAGGGATGAAAGGCAACCCTTGTCAACTATCACCAACATGCCTTCAATCAAATACCCAGATGCAAGGGCTCATGTAAGTTACAACAGGTATTTGAAGAACAGATTTAACTGAGCTACCTTTGAATAAAATTTTCCAGTAATATAAGAGTGAACCTAGAATGGTTGATTAAATTTAAATTTGAATTCAGACATATCATTATATTAACTATAGTTGTTGATCTAATCTTTCTTAATATTTTCCATACAAAAATTTATTTACATGTTTATTAATAAATAATTGTTCTGTTATTTTTTTAAAAATCAATAGGAGGAATTTATCAGGAAGATATTGTCCAAGCCATTTAAGATCCCTATACCTAATTACAAAGGTGAGTATAAATGTGGTGTGTATTTCCTATAGCTCAGTTTTAAAATCTTAGGCATCATAATACCTTATACATGTAGTTGTATTTTGAGTGCATATTGCATTAAAAACATTCTTAGACAAATTTAAGCACTTCTAAATAATTGAAGGATACTATCCTAAGTATTGTTGGTTACAAGTACAGTGTAGTTTGTTTTAAGGAGCACTTGCTGGTAGAGCACTTGGGATTAGACGACAAGGTACAAGGCAGTCTCTTCATGATCCCAATGAAGAAGGGGCATTAATTCTCTACTCCCCTCCTGAGTTGTCTGCCCATGAACAATTGAAGGCTGATTTGTAAGTAAATTTATTATTGAATGTACAATTTGCTAAAATTTTCAGGAGTCAATTTTGAGACTAGTTATTAAGTAATGATTGTTAAATTAAGATATGAATCAACATATTCTTACTTTGATTGTAAATAATTTACTCACTATAATGATCAGTATTTACATGTACTTGTGTTTTATGTTGATGGTAAACTTATATTGTGGATATTTGTGGTATACTGATATAATCTGATCTGTGTCTTGCAAAATGGTTAAACAATAAAGGAAATGATTCATATTATGAAAAATAAGTACTAAATAATACATGTAAAATTAACGACACACCCACTCACCCCCTCCCAGCCTCCTGTAACATACTACAAAAAACTGTTATTTTTGAAAATAAAAGTTTGATAGTGGAAGAAAAATCTGAGATTAAGAATGTCTGGAATACTCTTGTTTTTGATTTCACTTAAACATGTTAAAGATTGGAATTCATTTCCATTCATGGAAAAAGATTGTTTACTCTCAAGTAAAACAGGGATATAAATTAATGGTTGTCTGATTGAACAAGTTAAGTAACATCAGCATTTGGGCAAGAGAAAAATTGAGGTATACCTTGTACTTGTGCAATGGAGAAGTGGAAATTTTTAGTGATCAACAATTTCACATTCAATTCTTATTTGTAATTTGAACATCTAAAATGATTGATAACTTTGATGAAGAATCTATTAATGTGATATCAGTTTTCCATTTTGGATTATTAATTACAAATTGTCTGGTATAATGTGGTAGGTTCAGTATGGATCTAACAAGAATGAAGTAAACAACATGAATGTCAGACAGCTTTTTGCTTGTGACAGCATGGTAACAGGGTGACTCATAAGTAGCATAAAACCCTTTTCCAATCATTTCGGATCACTGATTAGAGCATCTAAATAATGTTAGGGCAAGTAAATACAGTCAAACCTCATTATCTCAAACTCAATGTGACAGAGAAAAAACTTCAAGATATCTGAGGATTCGAGATATCAGGGGTAAAATACTTAAGAATAAGTGGTTGGGACTTCCAAATCACTTTGACATATCCATGGTATTCTAGATATCAGTGTTCAAGATACTTAAGTTCAACTGTACTTGTATTAGAGTCTACTTGCATGATAATCAATTGAGGATAAAAATTCATGTCTATCCCTGTAAAGAAAATTTGCTTCTAGAATCTTTTGTATATTTACAGGGACAAACAGCCAGTACATGTGGTGGTGGATCCAGTTTTATCCAAAGTCCTGAGGCCTCATCAGAGGGAGGTAAGTCCCACTACATTTGTAAGGATCTTCATGTCATTGAGAACTACTCCGAACCTCCAGTTAAAAAGTTAAAAATCACTGACAGAATACTGATATCATCATGTTCCTCTTTCAAGCCAATGATTTGTTAGATTGAAAAAAAAATATAGAAATCATCGTTACCTACATGAATACCTGAGGACATTAATAGATCTTTTTTCTTTGCTGGTAAATTAATGTTTAGATGATATGTCTCACCAACAGCACAGTTTGTACAACATTTCGAGGGTTTTATTTTACTTCATTGACAGGGTGTAAAGTTCATGTATGACTGTGTCACAGGCCAAAGGATTCCAGACAACTTTGGTTGTATTATGGCAGATGAAATGGTATGGAAGTCTGATTTGTTGTTCAGTATCACTAGATACCACTTTGTTCTGCTCATTGAAAATAGCAGTGATCTACTGGTATATTTTGTAATTTTTGCATTCCTTAATGAATAGATTTTAAACCTTTCTATGGAATCATTTACTGTAAATGCTGTACTATTTCAATACTTTGATTTTTATGATCATCTATTTTTATTGTAAATTTATGATTTGATCAGGGCCTTGTATCAAAATTTGGATGCCCTTATGTAATTTTAAATGTACATGTATCTATCTGTCTATCTGTTAGTTTGCCTGTCCCTCATATTTGCCACAAAGACTTGAAACTCCTCAAACATAGGTACTTTATACAGTAAAACTCGTTTAGTACAGACACGGATATAGCAAATTTACAGATATAGTGAAGTTTTTTGCAATCCCCTGCAAAACTCTTAACAATTCCTTGTAAAATTTTATGGATATAATGAACTCGGATATAGCGAATTTATGGTTATAGCGAGCTGATTTTGTGTCCTCTAGAAGTTAAATATAACAAAATTTACATCTTTTAAAGCGAATTTTCAAAGATCTTGATTTTTAATAGATTGAAATGACAATAATTTTGTTAGTATTTATATTTGAAACTCAATTCATTTTAAAACTTTTGAACTCCAAGATAAATTTTATATTTTAATGTTCCCTAAATACATTTGGTAGTCATGCTTGAAGGGAAAAAAATGATATAACGTATTCACTATGCATACTTTAACAAATTTGTTATATGGATACAATGTATAACGAATTATGGACATAGCGAAGTAAATTCGCAGGTCCCCAGAACTTCACTATAACCAAGTTTTACTGTATTATCTATTTACATGGAGGATGGTTACTGAATAAAATCTATAATTTTGAGGTCATTTGGTCAAACGGCAAGATTATTGCTACATGCATTTCACATACATGTACATAAGTTAGGTAATAATTTGGACATATTTCATTCTTTCTGTTTCATATTTACTACATGTACATGTACATACACTATAGATGTACATGTAGGATGGTCGATGAAAGTTTTGGGGTCTTTTATTGACATAAGCACATTGAGGGCTTTATGACTTTGTCACTTTTGATCCAGGATGGTATGTCAGTTTTTTTATATGATTATTTTTTTTTATTTACAGGGATTGGGCAAAACTCTACAATGTATAACTCTGATGTGGACACTTTTGGTTTGTATTAATTTAAAATATTAATATGTCTGCCTTATGTTTGATCTAAGTTTCATGCTTTTCTGTTTTGATATTATATACTGAAGTGTGAAGTGCTTCTTGTTCAAATAAATATGTTTTCATTGATTCATAATAATTTACGGTAAGTTGAACTTGAATATGTAACAGTGAGGAGAAAACAGAATTTTTTGGTTATTTCCAGAGACAGAGCCCTGACTGTTGTCCACTCATTGATAAAGTGGTAGTGGTCACCCCAAGTAGTCTGGTCAAGGTATGGACTGTAACATTTCATATACAGAAACTTAGCTTGTAGACGTGAGTTAAAGTACTGTAACACTGTATTTATAACTTATCTAAATTTCAGGCTTTTGTTATTGATAAATGAATGAATGATTTTATACACAAGTTCTAATCTGAAAGCTTGTAAAATATGTTTGTAAATTACGTGAAATAAAATTTTGATGCCATTTGAATGGAGTTCATGTATTAAAAAGTATCCAATGTAATAATTTCAATGCCATTTCCATCTCATGCATAGAAGACTAAACTGAATCTTGATGTTTTTTTTCAGAACTGGTACAATGAAGTTCAGAAATGGTTAGGAGGAAAAATCAACTGTTTAGCCATTGATTCTGGAGTTAAAAGTGAAATAGATAGGCAACTGAGTAGGTGCAGTAAAAAAAAACTGATTTCAATCAAATGAAACTGATATTAAATTTTGATATATTTTGAATTGCATAGAATTTTTTAAAATAGATTATTTTAGTGTTATGTGATTGTAGATATAAATATTGAATGTAAATTTCATTTTTTTTTTCAGATCAATTTATGCAGCTTCAGGGAAAAAGAAATCCTCATCCAATTTTATTCATTTCCTATGAAACCTTTCGTCTTCACAGTGCAGTGATGCACAAGGGAAATGTTGGCCTAGTCATTTGTGATGAGGTATGATCTGTGTGAGTGAGGAAAATGACATAGCTTAATTTTTTTTAATGTAGATTAAAAAAGCGTTGAGCAAGCACTGTTCAGCAAAATTACACAAACTTTGCATGCATGTACATGTACAAGTAGTACTTTAAACATGACAATCTTTGAGAATTGAGAATGAAGAATTTTAGTTACATGTAAATTTTTAAGTGGAGCACTTAGCTCAGTGGTCACAGGTGTTTGGCAAGTAATCCAAAGGTTGCTGGTTCAAACCTCACTGTGGGCACTTAATGTTGTGTCCTTAGACAAGGCACTTTTTCTGCATTGTCTCAGTCCACCTAGTTGCAATGGGTAGCTTGGGGTTAATCTGCAATGGACTGGTGTCCCATCTAGGAGGCGTCAATGACTCTCATCCGCTTAGCACCACAGAAACCAGGTATAAGCACCGGCCTTATTAGCCTTATGGCTTGGAGAAGGATTTAACTTTAACATGTACATTTAATTTACATATAATGAGTGAAAAAGAAAGAGTAATAATTACTGACCAATTTAATTAAAATTAGATTTCCGAATCCACTACTGCTTCTACTACTGCTAACAACATCCCATCTGGGGTCACATCATAGCTTGCCTAATCTGGATGTTGTGCACTCTAAATCTTGCTATTACAAAGGAAACTTTTTCTACCACTGGGTAAATACTATTGTTTTAAAAAAATATTGCCTAATCCGGAATGTTGTCTATTCTTGCCAATTTCTACAGAACCAGTGGTGTCCAGCTTAGACAAATTTTACTGTACTATAGAGCATCTTTAGATTTAAATTTTATTCTCAGGGACACAGACTGAAGAACTCCGAGAACCAGACCTACCAGGCCCTGAATGGACTGAAGGCCAGGAGGCGTGTCTTGTTGTCAGGGACACCCATACAGAATGATTTATTGGAGTACTTTAGTCTGGTTCACTTTGTCAATGGAGGAATTTTAGGTAATTTTTACTTTCACTTTCTCTTTTTTTTTAAATTTCACAAGATACATATATTTGTTTTGAAAGAAGATGAAGATCAAGTTTACTTCTATGTTAGGCATACACACATGTATTTGAGGGGTGTTGAGCTGAAGAAATGAAGCTGTGTATATTTTACTTAAAATTAAGCAGGAGAAACATGAATAATAATTTTTAAGCATTTAGTATCACCAGCAAAGGATTATCTTCTAATTATTATTTTTTTTCCCATTGAAATATTATTTTCTAAAGTGAATTATTGTTTTTAAAAGTGTGCTTTTATTTTTTTAAAATGTGTTTGTAACATATATGTAGCACATGATAAAGAGCATTTTTTGTACTTGTACATTTAAGATTTATCCAAACTTGCACAGAGATATTGATTTTGAAGGTACTGCCCAGGAGTTTAAGAGGCGTTTTGAGACCCCAATCCTTAGAGGGAGAGATGCAGACGCAAGTGACGAGGTCCATAAAAAGGGCCAAGAAAAGTTACAGGAAGTAAGACAGTGTTGAAAATGTTATATGCTACAAACTTATATTTCTTTTTCTGCAGGGTTTGTACAGACAGTAAAAAAGTGCTTGAATTTTGACACGGCCCTTGAAAAGTGATTGAATATGCTTGAACAGCAAAAAGTCATGGAAAGGGGCTTAAATTTGCATGTTAAATGCTTAATTTTTTTATGGTGCATGAATTCTTATCTTGAGCTGCTGTATTAGCAAACATTAAAAAAAAAAAGGAAATAAATTGATTTATGTTTATTTACCTTTTCACAGCATTACCAGTTATAGATATTGAAAAAAAATAAATGAGAGGTTAAATGAGCTAAAGATATTTAAAAAAAAGTCCCAATCAATATTTTTATTTGCATGATTGTATTGTTCAAAAGTGCTTGAAAAATGGGTTTTAAAAGTGCTTAAAAAATAATGTCGCTGGGCTGTATGAACCCTGTGTAGTTAAATTTACATGTATTGAAAATTCTTTGTTGATGTGATGATATAGGAGTAATTTTAGATTTGTATAAATATTATAAATTTGAAGAATAAGAATATCCAAGGGTAGACTGGTAATTAGATCTTCCAATGGGGTAACAAAAAAACCCTTAAAAAGTAGAGAGAATTAGAATATCGATCTGTACAATTTAAAATTTTGTAGTTGGCAGACATTGTGAACAAGTGCATCATTAGAAGAACACAAGCTCTCCTGACCAGATACTTGCCAGTGAAAGGTTTGTTTGATCTTCTCACAAACAAGTTCATAAAGCATTTGTAGTTATGTAATACACATTACCCATGAACTTACAACCTTAACAGATGTAGATCTCTGGGCAGTATCTTTCATAACAATTTGTTTATCCATAAAATTATGTCCCCACAAACCTTTAGGTTTATGCAATCCACAAACATTAACCCCCACGAGTAATAAAATGATTCCATGGTACAAAAGCTAGTCTAAGATACAATGTAGCTTATGGGTTCATAGGGTATGACGTCTGCTTTATAAAGCATTGTGGAATCATTATACATGTGCATGTATTTTAGTGTGGTACATTTATAGTTTTCATAAATTTTGGGGTATACATCAACCATGAATTTAAAATCTCAACAAGTATTGTTCTATGTGAAATACATGTAAATGTATATATATTAGGGATGGCAATTTGTAATCGGTTAACCGGTTACTCGGTCGGAACGATGGTAATCGGTTAGAAAATCTGTAATCGGTTAGTCGGGAAAAAAATTATTGTATATGTAAATTTGAATGCAATTTCCTGAAAATTCAATTTAAAAAATACAAATAAAATTTTCTGAAATGTTAGCATGTTCCCCTATCTATTTAAGCTGATTCAGAGATAATCAAGGCTCTCCAGATTGACATCGTGTTGGGGTAATTGGTCACTTTTCGAGTCGTTAATTGCTGTCTAAACATGTGTCGTTACCCACCCTGTCCTGTGTTTCTTTCATAATTTTAATTAAATGATCGTTGACTTCTGTGAACTGATTATAATGTGTACCTTACCCCCTCTATCCTTTGCAGTTACCTATCAAATTATATTCTAAAACAAACATTGTAAGATAAGCGATAATTCAGCCTTAATTTTGATTATGGTGACTATTCAGACTGAACTTCCGTGACACCTTTTCTGAAAATTTTTTAATGCAACTGCAACCTCAGGATGTTTCATGGGTATCTTAATTTTTTCTTTCCTTATTTCTTTAGACCATTAGAATTGAAATGCAGTATATGCTACGTAGTATTCTGATCATATATAAATATAAGCATAATATTACTACATGAACATCTTTATAGTCTTACTTATTTGAGTGTAGCTATGTCGAGAATTTTTGATACGATTAATCGACTAATCGGTCGGAACGTCTTGCGGTTTTTAATTGGCAATTCTGTATTCGATTGCCATCCTTAATATATATACTTAATGACAAGAGGTTCAAGATTTCAGAAGGGTGTCAACTCTTGTGCTACATGTAGCTCTATCAGAAGTTGTTCAGATTAAAACTGTGTGCTTTATATGCTGGGAAACTGTAAAAAAAATAATAGGGATTCATTTCTTAGAATATGATGCACATAAAATTATTTATTGCTACAGTCAAACTTGTCTGATGGCAGGTTTGTTTGTATCATACTTAGTCATAAAGTTTTTAAAGGGATAACGGCAATTTGTTACAAATATTGAATTAATTTTATAGCCTCTTTGTTGTAATGTATACATGTACATGCATTTGCTTCTTTTTTCTCTTTAGTCGAACAGATAGTATGCTGCCGTTTGACACAGATGCAGTCTGAGTTATATAAACTCTTGGTTAGATCTAAATGTTTGGAGGTGGAACAAGAAGAGAAATCTACATCCAGCACTCTGGCATTCATTACACAGCTGAAAAAACTCTGTAATCGTAAGTCACCAAGATCAAGATGCAATAAATGATGTTTATATTATTGCTTTATGAATGAAAATGTCATCCAGAATCAACCTGCTAAAGTTACTGTGATATTTGTGGTGCTATTTATAATAATGTGAAAACTCTTTGCTGCACAATACATGTTTCATGAGCTCTTAAAGATAATACAAATGACAGCACACATGTCCATGTAATCACAAAGAGCCAAATTCAACAAAAAATATTTGTAAATCTGTTAACAGTACAACTCGGTCATGGGGGACTTGATTATAGTGAAATCTCTTGGTTATAAGGAAGAATTATCTGATTCCCTGGAAGACGTTACACTCAATAAATGTTATGCTTATAAAGAATTTTTGTTTTGAAGGCCCTGGTGACTTCTCTATCATCAAGTTTTACTGATTTATTAATTTAAAACATTGATTTTGTAAATAGATATAAAAGTTGCATGATTTCAAATGTTGGGGGAAAATCAATATTTTATGGCTGCTCTGACAGTCTATACACTGTATACTGAAATATGTAATATTTTTTATTTCTTCAATTCCAGACCCAGACCTTATTTATGACAAATGCCTTGAGAATGCCCCTGGCTATGAGGGGACTCTGGAGCTTTTCCCTCCAAAACATACAACCAAAGTTGTGAGGCCAGAACTCTCTGGTAAAGTATATGCATATTTTTATCATATATTGATAATCCATAAACACAAACATGTAAAATTTTAATGTGAAATTAAATGACATCCTTTTGAAAGTAATTAAAATCATACATGTACCTGAACTACATTAACATAGTCTAATATGCATGCTCTGGAAAAGAGATTTTGTATGTTGGTCATCCATCTGTCACATTTTCCTGTTACTGGATCATATCTTACATTTTTGGTGGGAGACTAAACCTTCATTTATACACTTGTTGGCACATATTTTTAATGACTATATTAGGAATGGGGAATTATCCAATAGCATTTTTTCTTCCCAATAGTTTGTTTAAAATACTAATTGCATCAACATTTTCAAAGATAAAACTAAAACTTTAATGTAACTTGTAAAATCATATCAAATTTTTTGCATTAAGGATACAATGGTGGGGGAGGGGGGCTTGTATGGTAACTTCTGTTCAGAATTTTATTGTAATGAGGTATAGACAGAACATGTATTTTGTAAGAGATAAAACTTAAATTTAGTTTCATGAATATGTATAATATTATAGAGAATTTACTGGGTAATGAATCCATGAGGAGCCAAATTTACATATTCTTTGGGCATTACTCTTCAGAAATATATCTTGTTTTAGGTAAAGTGCTTGTACTTGACCGCTTGCTGGCCCTGATAAAAGCCCAGACGAGTGACAAAGTGGTTCTTGTTTCTAATTACACCCAGACTCTGGACTTGTTTGAAACTCTTTGTCATCAAAGAAGGTAAGCTTGGAGGGAACTATCTGACTGGAAATACTGTAGATTGGGAAAATAATAATGGTTTCAAATTTACTGTGTTTACAATCTATCATTTTTCTGAAAAATAAATCCCATTGTGAATAAGGTTATCAGACCAAGAAGTATCTGAAGACACATGCCTATAGTATGAAATTAAAACCATCACAATTGGTACTTTTGTAACAAATCATGAAATTTCAGCTTTGTGGAATTAAAACGACTTACAATATTTTAAGATGGTTTTGAACCAATGGTCCTGAGTTTTCATTACATGTACCAAGTATACATAGTTTTGAGTATACTTGTATCTGCAATATGTTAATTATACCCGCACTTTCTAAAGAAAGTTCGGGTATATTGTTGTTACTCATGTCTGTCAGTCCGTCCGTCTGTCACACTCTTATTTCTCAAACTCCTCTTACATTTTACACAGTAGCCTAATCATCTTTTGGGAGATGTTTGGTGGTGTCATGTAGATGTGCAGTAAAGTTTCGGAATTTTCATTTTCATCCTGGGGGTCAAATGGGGGTCGAAAAATGACGTTTTTTATGCAAAAAGCCCCTGGTTCCCTGAACTCCTCTTACATTTTACACAGTAGCCTAATCGTCTTTTAGGAGATGGTTAGTGGTGTCCTGTAGATGTGCAGTAAGGTTTCGGAATTTTCATTTTCACCCTGGGGTGAATTGGGGGTCGAAAAATGACGTTTTTTATGCAAAAAGCCCCTGGTTCCCTGAACTCCTCTTACCTTTTACACAGTAGCCTAATCATCTTTTGGGAGATGGTTGGTGGTGTCATGTAGATGTCCAGTAAGGTTTCGGAATTTTCATTTTCGCCCTGGGGGTCAAATGGGGGTCGAAAAATGACGTTTTTTATGCAAAAAGCCCCTGGTTCCCTGAACTCCTCTTACATTTTACACAGTAGCCTAATCGTCTTTTGGGAGATTGTTGGTGGTGTCCTGAAGATGTGCAGTAAGGTTTCGGAATTTTCATTTTCACCCTGGGGGTCAAATGGGGGTCGTAAAATGACGTTTTTTATGCAAAAAGCCCCTGGTTCCCAGAACTCCTCCTACATTTTACACAGTAGCCTAATCGTCTTTTGGGAGATGGTTGGTGGTGTAATGTAGATGTGCAGTAAGGTTTCGGAATTTTCATTTTCACCCTGGGGGTCAAATGAGGGTCGAAAAATGACGTTTTTTATGCAAAAAGCCCCTGGTTCCCTGAACTCCTCCTACATTTTACACAGTAGCCTAATCATCTTTTGGGAGATTGTTGGTGGTGTCATGTAGATGTGCAGTAAGGTTTCGGAATTTTCATTTTCACCCTGGGGGTCAAATGGGGGTCGTAAAATGACGTTTTTTATGCAAAAAGCCCCTGGTTCCCTGAACTCCTCTTACATTTTACACAGTAGCCTAATCGTCTTTTGGGAGATGGTTGGTGGTGTCCTGAAGATGTGCAGTAAGGTTTCGGAATTTTCATTTTCACCCTGGGGGTCAAATGGGGGTCGTAAAATGACGTTTTTTATGCAAAAAGCCCCTGGTTCCCAGAACTCCTCCTACATTTTACACAGTAGCCTAATCGTCTTTTGGGAGATGGTTGGTGGTGTAATGTAGATGTGCAGTAAGGTTTCGGAATTTTCATTTTCACCCTGGGGGTCAAATGAGGGTCGAAAAATGACGTTTTTTATGCAAAAAGCCCCTGGTTCCCTGAACTCCTCCTACATTTTACACAGTAGCCTAATCATCTTTTGGGAGATTGTTGGTGGTGTCATGTAGATGTGCAGTAAGGTTTCGGAATTTTCATTTTCACCCTGGGGGTCAAATGGGGGTCGTAAAATGACGTTTTTTATGCAAAAAGCCCCTGGTTCCCTGAACTCCTCTTACATTTTACACAGTAGCCTAATCGTCTTTTGGGAGATGGTTGGTGGTGTCCTGAAGATGTGCAGTAAGGTTTCGGAATTTTCATTTTCACCCTGGGGGTCAAATGGGGGTCAAAAAATGAAGTTTTTTTATGCAAAAAGCCCCTGGTTCCCTGAACTCCTCTTACATTTTACACAGTAGCCTAATCATCTTTTGGGAGATGGTTGGTGGTGTCCTATAGATGTGCAGTAAGGTTTTGGAATTCTCATTTTCACCCTGGGGGTCAAATGGGGGTCAATTTTTTTTAAAAAAATATTTAACATGTTTAATCATCCTGGTTCCCAGAACTTCCCTTATATTTTATGCACTAGCCTTAAATCATGATCATTTGGAAGATGATTGATTTTGTCCTGTGGATGTGTAAAATGGTTTTAAAATTTGCATTTCCATGTGGATAGCAAATAGGGGCAGGAAAAAAATGGCCCCTCCCTAACCCATGGGGTCATGATTTGTACAAACTTGAATCTACACTTCTTGGGAATGTTTCCATATTAATCATGCTTTTGTTGTTCTTAAAAAGAGGAATTTTGAAGAATTTTTTTCCTTTTAAATCTCTATAAAACTTTGATCCCTTATTGTGGCCTGACCCTATCCTTGGAGGTCATGATTTGAAAACTAGAAATATGTCCATAGGACATAAATGCCCTGCTGAATGTATATTACTAATGCAACATGAAAATTTGTATGCGTGTATGAAGTTTGATGAGAATATCTTGAACAGTTTCTTTAAAATTGAAACTAAAATCTAAAAAAAAAAATGGATATAGATGATAAATTCTCACAAAATTATGTATAAGTGCATGCTTACATAAAAATATCTTAAATTGTTTCTTTAAAACTAAGCAAAATACAAATTAAAGAGAAGGGAGGTCAAGGTCACAGGAAAGTGCAAGGTGAAAAGTTTTTGATGCAGTTGAATAGCTCTCACTAATACATAGCATATTAGGTTTGATAAAAATATCTTGAATGATTTATTTAAAACTGAGCTTAACACTTATTTGAGAAAAGAGAGGTCAAGGTCAAAGGAAAGGTTGAGGTCAAAATGCTGATGCAGTTGAAAAGCTTATATCAGTATGTATTTACTATTAGCATAGAAGTTCAATAAAAATATCAGAAATGGTTTATTTAAAACGTAGATAAACACTAATTTAAAAAAGTGAGGTCAAGGTCAAAGGAAAAGTCAAGGTAAAAAAAGTTGATGCAATTGATATCTCTCAGCAGTATATATCAGCATATGAAGTTTGATAAATATATCTTGAATTGTTTATTCAAAACTGATCTAGACACTAATTTAAGAAAAGTAAGGTCAAGGGCAAAGGAAAAGTCAAGGTCAAAAATTTTGATGCAGTTGAAAAGCTTACATCAGTATGTATCAGCATATGACTTTTTATTGAAGTCAGACATGACAAACACTATATGCCTAATCCATATTCATGGCAGGGCATAAAAAACTTGAATCTACACTATATGAGGATGTTTCCATATCAAAATGACTAACAAGCAAATTCAAAGAATTGTGGTCCCCTGCTTTCCGTGTCCTAGTGGATGGGATGCCATTATTTATGACATATTGTTTCAAATATGCAGACCTTATCATATGTCATTCAAAAGTAATCACCAAAGTTAAAATTTTTGAAAATTAGGTAAAACATCAAGGTCAAGGGGTAAAAAAATCATAGCATGCTTGGAAACATCTTGTTACAGGTAATGTACATGTCAAATATAAAAGTCTATCTCTTCTCAATCAAAAGTTATAAGGAAATATAACAATTTTTGAAAAGTAGGTTAAACTTCAAGGTCAATGTCACAGAGTCAAAAGTCATGATATATTTAGAAAGGTCTTGTCACAGGTAACATACATGTATAATATGAACGCCCTATCTTTTCTCTTTCAAAATGATCATTTGAAATAATGTTAATTTTTTTTGAAAAGTAGGTCAAACTTCAAGGTCAAGGTCATGGGTTCAAAAATCATGGTATGTTTAGAAAGTTCTTGTAGGTAATGTACATGTGAAATATGAAAGCCCTATCTCTTATTATTCAGAAGTTATGACCAAGGTTAAATTTATTGTGACAGACGGACAGACTGACAAACAGACAGACTGACAGACAAATGAGATTTAATGTCCCCTAGGTCCCTTTTGTGAAAACAGACGACAATAATGCTTTTGCTGTTCATGAGAAGATTTATGATGGAAAAAATCGATATCCCCTGCATTTTTCTATGTAAATCATTGGATCCCCATATGTGGCCCCACCCTACCCCAGTGGGTCATAATTTTAACAAATTTGAAGCTACACTAAGTCTATGTAAAGAAAGTTTCAACTTTTTGGGCCCTGGTTCTTGATAAGACTTTTTTAAAATGATACCACCAAATTTTCATTAATTCTTGATTACCCCCCCCCCCCTTGATAGAGGGTGTGACCCTTCACTTGAACAAACTTGAATCCCCTTTACCCGAAGATGCTTTGTGGCAGGGTTGGATGAAATTGGCCCAGCGGTTCTAGTGAAGAAGACAAAAATGTGAAAAGTTTACAGGCGGAGATATGGATGACAAACAAAATGTGATCAGAAAACCAGAAAAACTCAAGTGAGCTAAAAACTGATGATCACAAGTACTTGGAAAGAGTTTCAGTATTTGAAAAGCAGTTTTTTTTTTCATGCATTGTTTTCAGAAGCTGAAAAGGTATGACTTGTATCCATGTTGAAAAAACTTCACATTTCAGAAAACAGTATGATTAAAAATAGTTAATCAAGGTGCTTTGAGTAGCAGAATAAGCTAAACTGGTATAGCTAATTCAACCACAGAGCTTAGTGAATTTTAAAATGCACAACCTTTTCAACTCTTAATCATTCTTAAAATATTTATATCATCATTTCTGATTCAAGGGAGAACTAGAGATATGATCAGAAGTATATCCGTTGACTAATAAACATGTACATGTATATTGTGTTTTATAAGTCATTAATGTTTGTTTGTTGTTAAATGTCCCTCTTGGGAATTTTTCACTCATACGGAGACACCACCATTTAAAAATAATGAAGACGTACAAGTCGGATTTGAGGTTAACATTCATTTTAGGAATTTTCAACAATTAAGACGTAAAGAGATAACTCCTTCCCCTTGCCCCTTCCCCTTCCCAGACCCCTGTTTGTTCATGTATGCAAACTAGTCTAATACTTTGGTTTGACATTAAAAAAATGTGAATATATACAAATAGTTTAATGGTCCATCTCTTCGAATGATTTTCATTCCTAATTCTAGGAGGGTACATGGGTTGACCTAAATTCATGAATGAAATGTCAAGTAATCTGATGCACTTTTATTTAATTTGATGTAGTCATATTATGAACATTTCCAGTTCATTAAGAGAGTGGGGATGACCTCCAGGGGTTCATAACCTTAAACCATTAGATGTACATAACATAATAACACAAGAAACAAAATTATGTATAGTCAAATGGAAAAGTTTTCTACTATTTAGGAGTCACATGATCATTTGTCATTTCAGGGACAGGGAGCGGCTAGGGAGATTGGACCCCCTCCCCCCCGGAATTTGCAGAGTTATTTAAATAGGACTATATACTGATTTACAGAAGCAAATGAAAAAATGACTTTGGATGCCCTCCCCCTTTAAAAACATGGACCCCACCATCATTGTTTTTATTTTGTTTGTTTGTTTGTTTCTTTTTGCTCCTCAGGAAATTCTGGGCTGGAATTTTTTTGGACCGAGGTGTGGACCCCCCCCGGAAAAAAATTCCCGGATCTGTGCCTGTAACTGAATGTAATGTCGACAATGGGAGATAACTCTTCAGAATATTGTGGCATCCGATGATCCACTCTCTACCATCGGCTCATACATTCAGTGTCTGAGAGAGAAATGAACGACAACTCTGCATAGGAGATTGCCGATGATCTTTGATCCTTTTTAAACTTTAACCTAACCATTTGCATTTCGGTTTATTTTACCCCAATCTATACTTAAACTTGTACTTACCGACTGTCATAGGTCCTGTCAACTTCATAAAATATAATCCAATTAAAACACAAAATGAATTAATTTCCACTGATATAGAACTCTACATGTAACACTGCACCATGTCACATGGCATGTGCAATCTAAAAATGATAATGGTAAAACTAGTACTAGTACTGGTAGGGTGACGCAAGCCCAATGTGATGTAGAAATTTTCAAAAAGGTGTTCACGTACATGTACAGTACAAGAACAAATTTTAAATTAACATAACAAACGATGTTTTAACATAACTTTGCCATCTAGGCCTATTTCCAAAAACAGGCAAATTGTGTGTGTGTGTTGGGGGGGGGGGGGGGGGGGTGACAAAATTGATTGGATATGGCTTTTAAAGGAGGTTTTTGCCTAATCAAATACTAAAAAAAGTTTGCACATTTTGATAAATTCATCAAAAACGCTTTGTACTAAAATAATATTATTTGTTGTTGAGAAAATAAATTTAAAAAGTTCCAATTATGGGCCAAAAATGTATATCCCCCCCCCCCTTTTATCAAAACCTAATTTACATCATTAATTAAATTCTGTTATTTCAGACTGGTAATGAATTAAGTATATGAAATGTGTATAAGAGGTTCATGGGTCACATGGTCACCTGAGCATTTTATGTTCGATTTGACGAATACATGTACTGTGTAAATTATAGAATTATTTGGACTTTTTCCTTGGTAAGCCCAATATGAAGGAGTGTGCATTTAGAGGCAAACACCTTAGTGCGGGTATTGCTGTCTCATGACAGCATCTAGTTGGTATTGTGCAGTTTATTTAAGGAAACTAAGATGTTGGGCTTTGTAAATTTTAATAATTTGAGATTGTTATATGTTGCAGGTATCTGTATGTACGTCTTGATGGATCAATGACCATCAAGAAAAGAGCAAAGGTTGTAGAGCAGTTCAACAATCCGTCCGTAAGTAATGTGTTTTACCACAAGAAGCAACAATTATTATTCAGGAAAGTGTACTTTTGTTTCAGAACTTAGAAGCAGGACTTTAAATTTTGTAGCATTACTTATATGACATTGTATCATCATGAATATTTAAAGTTTTTATTTCTTCAATTTCATGGATTAAATAGAAAGTTTTTTTTCCCTTAATTTCATCATCATTTAATAGCAATTCTGCTGTGATCTTTGTGAAATATGTGTTATATTTTACAATATTTTTCAATAATAATAAAATGTTGTAATGTTACCCAGTTACAAGGTCAGAATTTGAATTTAGTTCTCTTCTCAAAATCTGTTTTCTCTTATAGTCACCAGAGTTCATATTCATGCTGAGCAGCAAAGCTGGTGGGTGTGGTTTAAATCTGATTGGAGCCAACCGTTTAGTGATGTTTGATCCTGACTGGAATCCAGCCAATGATGAACAAGCAATGGCTAGGTGTTGGAGAGATGGACAGAAGAAGCAGTGTTACATATATAGACTCATTGCTGTAAATAATACAGATCTCTCATAGTTTCTTTCAAGTAGGCTTTGATATGATATCCATGTAAAAGGAAAAGTGTTCAAATGACCTGATGAAAAGAGAGAACATTCTTTAATTAATTTTTTTTTTTTTTTTACATTTTCAAGGTTCAATTTTTATGTTTTCAAACTTTTTTTTAATTAATCCTTATTAGTTGTGTACCTCTTCTTTGTGTAAATAACAGCAAGATAACTTCAGAAGTTTTAATGTTTTTCTCCAGTGATTTCATTTCTACATATGTAAACATATAAATCTGTATTAAAAAAACTTTACATACCTGTATGTAAACATATCAGTAGGATCCATAATCTTAACAAAATCTTCAATTCTTGTAGACTGGAACAATAGAGGAGAAGATTTTCCAGCGTCAGACACACAAGAAAGCCTTGAGTAGCTGTGTAGTGGACAAAGAAGAGGATGTGGAGAGACATTTTAGTCGGGAGCAACTACGAGACTTGTTCCGGCTCAATGAAGACACCATCAGTGATACTCATGAAAAGTAAGTAGCTCTGTCAAATTTTTGTGGTTGTGAGCAACATTATGCAAAAACCTAGTACGTGAAATAGTTAAGATTATCGTAAAATTAAGTGAAAAATAAAGGTAGATTTAAAAAAAAAAAAGAATATGTATATACATGTTTACATTTGTTTTTTTTTTTTTAAAAAAAACCCATCTTAATCCAGTTATCAAAGAATCATCTTTCCACTGTATGTAAATATTATTTTTGTTTTTTTAATAAGGTTCAAGTGCAAGAGGTGTGTGAATAACATTGAAGTGCGAGGCCCACCAGAGGGCAGTGATACAAATTCAGACTTGTCTCAATGGCATCACTCAGCTGATAAAAAAGGACTAGTGGATGTGGTCCTTAAAGGGGCATGGGACGAAACAATCTCATTCACATTTCACCACAAATCTCATGAGGAGCAACGAAAAACAGTATGACCATTTCTTGTTTTAAAAGTTTAAAAGTGTATTTTAAAAGATTATAGAGCTGTGAAGGGAGACGTTACATTGGAAAAGAAAACATGAACAAGAAGGAATTTCAGTGGATGGGGATAAAGTCTGTGTCTTATTTTACCAGTATTAGCTAGAAGGAATGTTCATTTTATATTGTTTGAAAGAAAAGGAATTGGTTTTGGTGAGATTATTAAATATAAACAGAGAGTTCAGATTCAAAATCATCAAGAGATATGGTGAACTAGAAATATGCACCAAACATGAAAAGAAACTGTGAAGTGAATTTTAATAGGTAGATGTATTCAATAAATTCTCATGATTATTTTCTGGTTTTATTCATTAAATCAACACAAAAATGCTCCTGTTAGGGTCTTTAGGAAGCTCTAAACACAACTCACTGAAGAGTTCTAATTCCATGGTACTGTATAGGGGATTAATATCAGGGGTTGAAATTTTCACTTTTTTTTTCTTTTCTGACACAATCTTGGTTTGGGAAATTAGCAGAATTTGTATAAAGTGAAAGTTGCCTCTCTCTGTTTGTATTCTGTATTTAACATAACCCAGCCAAATAAAGTGTTCAAAACATGCAGGTGAAAGTATCAAAAAAAATCTCAACCCACCCTCCTTTAGATTTGATCGGCAATCTGCAGCAGTGTTTTAAAAAAAAAAGAGAAGGAGCTTCCAAATAGAATAAATCATGTACATAATTAACATTTTGCTGCGCAAGTATATGATATTGAATTCAATGTTAAAACATACAATGTCGATTAAAAAAATAAGCATCAGTGGGAGTGAGTGCCAGAGGTTTTACATGTATTTATTACGCACAGGAAAAGTTTACCAACATGTTCATAGTAATTGTACACTGACTACATGATGATATTATATTGAATAGATCCCATGTTCTGTGCCATGGCTTGTTTATGTAGCAGTAATGAGTTTCTTATTGATAAAATGTACTGGTAATGCACACCTGAAATCAAGGTGAAAAGTAGTGGTAATGAGTTGTAATTTCTTGCAAAGTAGCTGTTATGTGTTCCTGCCTTGAAATTAAGGAAAACATGGCAATTATATAATTGAATGATAAGTACTGCTTGTAAATACTGATCATGAATGACTGCATATCTTCTGCTAGACTTGACTGATATTTAAAGAAAAAACCCATAATTTTATTGAAAACTCTTTCACTTTTTCTTACATTCATGGATTTAGCAACACTGTGAATACAGTGAATATTAATAGCGTGAGTTATCCCCCTAAACAGTAGTTTAATGCAGTTAGAGTGATCTGCTCTTTGATGTAAAATGGAATAAATGGAAATCTACAGACATTTTGAAACAAAATATTTTTAACATATTTATAGACCAAGAATTGTATAACTGGTTATTTTCGTGATAATTCAATTTTTGCTTTATTTGCAATCATTTTTAAATTGCAAAAAATAAATTTGGATAAAATTGTCATCAATTGTGAACTTTATAGATTACATTGCTAACTCATAGGGAGAATCACAGAAATAGGTCAACACAATCTAAAAATAACAGTGTTTTGCGATAATTTTCCAAAAATTCTGAAACAAAGAAAAAAAACTGATATACTAGTACAGTTATTAAAAACATTATTTTCATGTGTTTTCCCCTTGTAAGTAAGCAAAAGTAATTTTATTGACTAATAGTTCATTGTCCATGAACATTTTTCCTAAGAAATATCTTTTGTTTAAAATGTTATAGATTAACTCAATATGTGCACCTTTATATGATATACAATTTCCTTGAAGTCCAGAAAACATTTTTCATTAGTGATAAGAGCTTCCTTAAACAATACTATAGGAGATATTAGTCCTTCTCCTCTTTTTAGTGCACCTAAGCAAAATGCTCAAGTTAGACTAATTGAAGTTGGTCTGCCATCTGTCTGTCTATTTTTTTATTTTTACTTCTTCAGAACCATTGAAAATGAAAATTTCCTTACACAGTATAAATTCAAGTTTTTCTTTTTAAATCATTGCCCTCAGAGTTGGTTGGGGCCACAATAGGGCGATCTAAGTTTTGGTGCTAGGGGTTGGGTTGGGCTACTATAGGGGATGAAAGTATGCAGGAAAAATCTGAAGAATACAAAAAGGTTAAAGTTAGAAAACTTTAACCTTGGCCATAACTTTTGAATGATTGGTGCTAGGGCATTCATATTTTACATGTGCATTCCTTGTTATAAGACCTTTCTTTGGGTGCCAACATTTTGACTTCATGACCTTGACTTTGGAGTTTGACCTACTTTTGAAAAACTGCAACCTAGGCCATAACTTCTGAACTTTTGGTGCCAGGTCTTTCATATTTCACTTGTGTATTCGTTGTGACAAACCCTTTCTGTAAGTACCATCATTTTTGACCTCATGACCTGACCTTAGATTTTGACCTACTTTTGAAAGACTTTAACATTGGCAATGAACTGCAATACAGGGGCATCAGGTTTCAAAAAAAATCTTGTTTTAAAAAGTAGAATTAATCAATGCCAATGTGAACAAGGTCATGATCCTTACAATAGTTAACTTGTAATTCATTTTCATTCTTATATTTACAACAAACCAACTGTTCCATATCTGATGAACTGAAGGCTCAAAAATCTAATGCTATATCTATTTGTTTGGTCTGAATAAACCTTTCAGAATGTTAGCCCTATTTCAAGAATGACTAATATTTATTAACTTTGTCAAAGAGTATCCTTGAGCCAAGGGCTGTCATTTGTATTGAAAAAGGGGTATGATCCTTATGCATAGGAAGATGTAATTGGAAAAAATTAAAGAAATTGGTAGTTAAAAAATTCTCATATCAAAAACCACTGGACAGATTTTCACCTAACTTGTACATAAAATGATATATTGTGTATTTAGTTGTTGAAGTCATCAAGGTCACATCAAAATTGCCCTCAAATGATACTTTGATATAATATTTGGCCCTGAGAATTTCTAAAAATTAAAGTTTACGCTGAATCAAAACTTCACATTGTAAATAAAGGTTGGATATACGCTTGTTAAAAAAATAAATCCAAATTTTGAGAATGTGTCCCCTGTATACTGTTTATTCGTGGTCAAATCATGCACGGAATGCGTATTTCCGGAAAAATCGTTGAAAATTAGGGTCTTACAAGCATTTTTCGATAGGTCCGCATTATATCACCACTTTGAAATTTTCACAAATGAAATATCGATTTGAAAGCATTTTACATGCAAAAAATTTCGATGGTGATATTGTGCGGACCATGTTTATTTTTTAAAAATGTGTTCATTTTACAGCATGCAATATACATGCATTCGACGGTGTTTTGCTAGATCTAAATAATATTGAGAATATACCTCGCCATGTATCGATAAAAATCCTTTAATATAAAGGATGAAATCATTATATCAATGTTATGAAGATCTGGTCTGTATTAATTCTTTACACGTTGTTCGAATTCAGATACATTGGGCTATATTTAGTATAAATAGCATCTTATTTACTCGCTCCCTAATGTCTGTAGCGCCAAAAGAAGCGTATTGACCCCCATTTTTTGTTTTGATTTTTAATTAAGCTATGTGTGTAGAAACTAAAAATATACTTGACAAAAAAAGTTTAAGACTTTAAATATCAGGATCCAACCTCGTTAAAAAGGCTTGAAGAGAAACGATATCACAAAACTTTGACATTGTGAAGATGTATAGGTTAACACGTATAAAACAACGTTAAAACATGCTGTATGATCAATAACCCTTAGATCCTGATATATTCATGTCGGAACAAGCTGCATTTAAAAAAAATGATATTAATAGCTGATAACTTCGATGTTGGAATGCTTCCGAAACTGCTGAAAGAAAAGAATAAACGAAGGTTCGCATGCATTCCTTTTTTCAAGGATGGGCTCTGTCTCTGAACAGCGCAAATAAAATATTATAATATAGACACAGGTAAACTTACGTAAATCAATCCACAGAAAAGCAATGTCAAGACTCAAGTATTTGCGGAGAAGTAAACTTTTTTTTTTTTTTTGAAAATATAATGCAGATAAGCAGGAAGACCAAAATCTTGCGAGCCATACTGACATATTATTACACACAAAATTAATCATTTTCTTGAACACCTGTAATCAAAATCCAAGAAAAAAGTCTAACGGTCTTTAAGTCCTTTTTACAAAGCTCGGCAATTACGGTTCGTCAAGTTAACAAACAGAGCCAATAACTTTGCTTGTGCCAATGCGAGGCGCGGAAAGTGAGAAATCCGCAAAGAATGTACTTTACATGTACACCCCTCTTTTCCCTAATGATTCAAAAATTTTCAAAGCCAACCACAACAATTGATTTAAAGATTTTGTCTTTAATTATGAAATATAATTTAGAAAGCATGATATGCTATCACATGTATACCAAAACATCGAAATGTACGTTTATGAAAATGAGATTTAATTAACGTACATAATAAAATATACATGTAAGCTGGATTTGTTTTAAAACATGACGTTAAATTCTTGTTCATGACGTCGCATAAAGCAACGTCAAAATATCGCAACGTTATCGTAAACTATGCTACCTTTACGTCAATATAAACCAAAAATAAAGCTTTGTACATGCATATATTGATAATTTCATGAAAATATATACTCTCTTAAAGAGTTTTGAGGAATATTATTTAATTTTGACACGGGGCCGAATTTTGCACCAAACGCACCTTGTCCTTTGATATTTTATTCACTATATGAGGACTAGGATCCTCATTTTGGGATCACAGGGTATGTTTAAAATGTATTACATCTTTTTTAATAATGGACATGTAAAAACAAATGTTTAGCATGGTTATAATTGACAGTTAGCCATCTACCAAAATTTGTACACCCCCCCCCCCCCCCTCCCAATTCAGGCCACTGGGTAGTGCTAAGTTTGGCATACAGGTATTTTGAAAATACATTATATCTTTGAAATCTTGTTTCCTAAAGGACATACAGTGGAAAAAATGATTATATTACTTCAACGATTTACTACAGTTCCCTTGGCAAAATTAATAAAATTTATGTGCCCTGGGTCCAGCATTCAGGTCTCTGGGTGGAGGGAAATTGGACATGTATTGAAAATACATTACACTTTTGAAAATCTTTCATGGACATCTAGCAGACAAATAGTTTGAGCAATTATAATTAACACTTAGCCCTCCACAAAAATCGTGAAATTCATGACCCTTGGTTCAGACCTCAGGGTGGTTCAGATGTACTAAGTTGGTCATATATTGAAAGTACATTGCATCTACGAAAATCTTCATTACACAGCTAGCAGGCAAATTGTTTACCTGAT